CTATGGGAGCCAAGAACTAGAAACTAGTGTAGGTCTACTAAGTGACAAGAGTGAGAAACTTCAAGACCCCACTCCCAATGTTAGATCTGCCAGAGAAGGCATACATGTGCCTAAGATCTGAGGTTCGCACATTGAATACATTTTTTTTTTTTTTGAGATAGAGTCTTGCTCTATTACCCAGGCTGGGGTGCAGGGCATGATCTTGGCTTACTGCAACCGCTGCCTCCCCAGTTCAAGTGATTCTCGTTCCTCAGCCTCCCAAGTAGCTGGGATTACAGGCACACGCCATCAGGCCCGGATAATTTTTGTATTTTTAGTAGAGATGAGGTTTCACCATGTTGTCCCAAGCTGGTCTTGGAGTCCTGAACTCAGGTGATCCACCCACCTTGGCCTCCCAAAGTCTTGGGATTACAGGCGTGAGCCACGGTGCCTGGCCACACTGAATTTTTTTTTTTTTGAGACTGACTCTCACTCTGTCACCCAGGCTGTAGTGCAGTGGCGTGATCTTGGCTCACTGCAACCTCTGCCTCCACCTCCTAGGTTCGAGTGATTCTCCTGTCTCAGCCTCCTGAGAAGCTGAGATTACAGGTGACCACCACCATGCCTGGCTAATTTTCATATTTTTAGTAGAGATGAGGTTTCACTATATGTTGGCCAGGCTGGTCTCGAACTCCTGCCCTCAGGTGATATACCTGCCTTGGCCTTCCAAAGTGCTGGGATTACAGGTGTGAGCCACCGTGCCCAGCCACTGAATACATTTTTAAGAGAGAGATTTTCTTCATTGTGGTTAGGGTGTGTGATACTGTTAGTCTGGTCTTCAGATATAGCACAGGGTAAAATACTGTCTTTCATGGCCTGGCTTGGGAATCTAACCATCAGGGATACTATTAAGAATCCTTAATAACCAGTAGGGTACAGGAGCCAAAACAATCAGTGTGCTCCTTCTGTATCTTACAACCAAATATCATCAAATGGTTTGGCTACAATCAGCTCCTATGGAAACCTGTTACTCTAGTTTCAAACAAATGACTTATAGTTGGCTCTGTGGAACCTTTTAGGGACTCCTAATCATAAAATGATTGCTCAACAGCTCAGCTTATGCTTGATCTGCCCTGCTCTGATAAGAAACAAATTTTTTTCAAAATTTTCTCTTTCCCTCATAAAATAAACACCAGCCACGATTGCACTTTCAAACAACTACAACAGGATACTTCATTCTCCAGGGGAGGAGACCCCATTTTAACTGCTGATAATCTGAAATTTACTTCCAACCTCCTGGCAAGTACACAGCAAGGGCAACACTTTACTTATGGCTTCCCCCCATCCCATTTATACACTGTTAGACAGAAAAATAAACATGGAAAAAGCTAACAAATGTTAAATCCATTCAGTAGATGCAGTTTAGGATGAAGCTGGCAAGTTTCACTTAAACTGTAACCAAAAGTGTCTCCAATATTCAGCAACAACTAAGCTGGATGAGAAGAAAATGAGTTACTGATATATTATGTATTTATTCATTCTCTACATAGAACATGGATGAGGTACATAAAATATATAGTTGGGATTACTGTATGTATACAGGTTCTACTTTGGGCCTGTGCTATCTTAAGATTCACAAAAATGACAAATAAACCAGGGCTAGTATTATATAAATGTAGACTTCGAATAATACACTAACTGGGCTATGGAAGCATAAACAAACTGTAATACTGTACTTCATAATAAAACAAAAAACCGAAGAAAATTCTACCATGTAATTAGTAGAGCTATTGTTATTTTAAAACCACTTTAATACATGATTCATCCTCATAAACGGTGATAGTGAGAATCAAATTATATTGCTGAAGTTACAGGCACCAGAAGTCAAGATTTTTGGATTGCCTGTTAATATGTAAATCTGTAGACTTTCAGATAAGGCAATTTTATTTTTTATTTTTTATTAAACATTCCAGTAGCATCAGAAATGAGTTGACCTCTGAAGCAACTATGAGAATACTCTTTGGGTCTATTTTTTTTGTGAATAGTGACAGCTATTAACAGAATTTAAAGAAATTACAGTTTTGCTTTTGATTATTGCAATCCCTCACAAGCGGCAGGAGGAAAACTACATTTTGTTGCTGGTCTTGTGTTATTCTGATGATTTATTAGGGGAGGCAGAATAAGTGTTAGAGTGAGAATAGATGAGCACATGTTCATTTGTTATGATATATAGTATAAAATGTGACCAGAGCCTTTTCCTCTTTCAGATTTTATAATCTACTCTTGAATTTGTAGTTATATAAAACTGATGAATCAATTCATAAATCCAGGGAACCAATAATCCCTACAAAAACAACAGACCTGGTCATCTAAAATGTTATGTTACTGGCAGTAACAAGATTAAAAGCTGGAAATGTTTGAGCTGAATGAAAAATTTTATTAAAACGCAGTTATCTAAATCATAAATTTTTAATAAAATTATTTAAAGAGAGATTTGCTTTAGGAAACCTTAAAGATATATATATTTAAGTATATCTGAGTTTTGGGGCAAAGTCTCCACCATGTTTTCATATGCTGTCTAATTATTACCTAAAAATGGCCCAATTTTTGCTATCAAAATATTCTTACTTCAAACACAAAATATCATTCAAACAATTCTGTAATTCTTCTCATTATCACAAACTTTAAAAATTGAATAACTTTATTTCAGATAAATTACCAGAAAAGCTTTGGTGACATGTTGAGAGAATAGAGAAGATCAATAACACATTGGGATGTTTAGAAGTCACCTGTAGGACCACAGCATGGAGCAATAGAAAAGGTTCAACAAAGCTTTCTTCGAGACGAGTGATGGGAACGTGAGACTCAACAGGATCTAGGTCATTTAGGTAAAGGGATAAAACACAATTTCGATCTGGGAAAGTGATTGAGGATCAGCAAATGGTGGTGTTTTTGGTATATTTACCTGTCCTTCTCTAAAATTTTCTGAAGTTCTATGTCTCTGCAATTCCAGCTTTGATTCAATGAGGTCGGTAATAAGTTACAGCAAACCACAAGGTTTATTTTCTGAGATGCCGGATAACTTCAGATTCATGTTTATATCATTGTTTTTTAAACCTATTTTTTTTGCGGCTCTAAATACAAATGAGTTTTTTATTTCCCATGTATCTTAGCAGCTTTTTGGCAGTGCAGAATTTTGAAGGAAGATGGATTTTTCTATTTTATTAGCTAACACGTCTTTATTAGACTGCTTTCAAAGTACATAATATACACTGTGGTTAAATTTCAATAGCCTGAATCTCTGGATTGAAGATCTGAAATTTGGATACATGAAATGCTCATTTTAAAAGCATTCCAATGGCCAAAATGCTGATGAAAATGTTTTGTGAACAATATATAAATTTTATATTACCAAAAGTGTGTTACTTTTAAAAATTAAAATAAGAAATATGATTTAACACCTTTCAAAGTGTTATCCTAATGCAAAATCCCTCTTTAAATACCACTAATTTAAAGTAGCACATTACTGTTTTGTTTCAAATATGCAAATATAAATATGAACGCATTTGTGTTATTTTCCACAGTAACCTCTTTATTTGATAAAATAGTCAAGTTTGGACATTTTGAAACAAGCTAGAATAAGTTTTAGCTTGATTTATATAAAAAATGCATTCAATGAAAGAAATTATGTCTAATAACAAAAAATTCCCAACAAATTAAAATTAAATATTAATGGAGCATTTTATAAAAACTGAGTCACTACTTGTTCAATGCCACTTTCCTTTTTTTTTCTGAGATGGAGTCTGGCTCTGTTGCCCAAGCTGGAGTGCAGTGGCACGATCTTGGTTCACTGCAATCTCCACCTCCAGGGCTCAAGCGATTCTCCTGCCTCAGCCTTCCAAGTAGTGGGGATTACAGGTGCGCACCACCACGCCTGGCTAATTTTTGTACTTTTAGTAGAGACAGGGTTTCGCCATGTTGGCTGGGCTGGTCTCAAATTCCTGACCTTAGTTGATCCACCCGCCTCAGCCTCCCAAAGTGCTGGGATTACAGGCGTGAGCCAACATGCCCGGCCCATTGCCACTTTCCCTTTTGATCATTCACCTCAATCAGCCACACCTGGTGCCACCACTGAGTTAATGCTAGGAACGTGAGCCTCCTATAAAACTGGCTCTATACACGTTGGCAAAGACCAAACACTGGAAGTACACAGCAAACAGGGAATAAGGACAGGCAACTAAAAATCACCTCCACTACACACTTCACCCATCTTCCTTCCTCCCTCCCTCTCTCTCTTTCTCTGTTTCTTTAAGACAGAGTCTTGAGCTATAGCCCATGCTGGAGTACAGTGGTGCACGATCTCAGCTCACTGCAACCTCCACCTCCTGGGTTCAAGCAATTCTTGTGCCTCAGCCTGCTGAGTAGCTGGGATTATAGACATTCACTGTGACGCCCGGCTAATTTTTGTACTTTTAGTAGAGGCAGGGTTTCTCCATGTTGGCCAGGCTGGTCTCGAACTCCTGGCCTTCAGTGAGCCACCTGCCTCGGCCTCCCGAAGTGCTGGGATTACAGGCATGAGCCATTGTATGCAGTCAACTTCACCCACCTTTAAACTCCCCTTTGTGAATACAGAGCACACTACATTCACCCTCCTTCTTGCCTTCTAACAAGACAATTCACAGCTTGGTGTCTGTTCCTTTAATTAGGTCAACTCCAAGCTGAGATAAGCCTCAAGGAGTAGGCGTTTTAATGGGATAAGAAGAAAGAAGTCTAGAGAATTTAGGCTGTCAATTTCAGCTGACCCAACATTTGTATCCCCCCTTTACTTCCACATCTGTCCTTTCTCCCTGTTTATTACGGAATTCCTGAATCCACCTGGTCAGGGATTTCATATTCTATCACTTGTAAAAGTCATGTTATTAATTCAAAGTGACTGAAATAGCTGAGTAGCCTGAAAAACTGTATTATATTTAAGAAGTTCTATTAAGTATTAAAAGTAAGAAAATCTCTATGAATCCCACCTGGTGATCCAAATATATGGTGTTCCTTTGGAGATGATGTGAAAGAATTTCATTCTAGTAGGCACCAATTAAGAAAAAAGGGACAGAGAAAGAGGATGTGGAATTCAAGAAAAGGTCAATTTTGGAATAAGAAAAACAGGTAATTTACTACAACCTATTATATCACAGTGCACGACAACTTTCACGCACATGCTCCCCTGTAAATGGTACCACTGACATATTAAATTATAAAATTATATTTTGTTTTGTAAGAAACTAAGTAGACATGCATATGAACAATGAACTATTAAGCAGAAAAATTCCTTAAAATAGCTCTAGCAAAAACTGACTGTTAGAACTTTTACATGTCAATTATTTCCTGTAATAAAGTACTACTTCTTTCAATAAGATGCTTCTTATATAACCAGAGCTATAAACCCTTTGAGAAATGGTTATGTGTTCATTGCTTTCATTAAAAATAAAAGACATTTTAAAATTAATTTTTAACATTTAAAAGGCAGTATTATTAAAGCTATAATGAATTTTCAATTCATTGTTTTACTGGAAATTATAGGACTTCTCAATATTTGTTTTACCAGGTGTGGAAGTCACAGTATTCAGTGAATAACAACATGAAGTTAATGCATACATGAAGTACTGTATGCATTTCCTTCCTCAAAACCAAAAGCCAGTGGGTGAGCGGGTGGGTAGAAGGCTAAAAAGAAATGCACCCTACCTGCATTTTCTTTCAGTCATGTATAAATAAGTTCGATTCTCAAAGGGTTAATAGGAGATTCTAATGTTGTCACTATAATGATGGTATGGGCTCATGCTCAATACTAATGACGCTGATCATATTGACTAATGAGTGGTTCAAAATAAGTGATGATAGCAGACGACACAGACAAATCTCTCCATAGCTGACCTTTGGGCTGTGGGCCTCAAGCTTTAGCTGCATGAGCTGTGCTAACGTATGCTCCCGGATACTACTCAGTTCAGCTTGCTGCCGTCTCAGCTTTATTAGCAGCAGCGTAAGCTCCTCTGGCTGAAGGAGTACAATTTAAGAATCCAAACAGTGGAAAACAGATTAATTGTTGTCTTAAGTGACAGATATTAAACCAAGATTTCTTGGCAAGTTTCCTCTTACGGTTGACATCAAACATAGTGCCTAGGCACTATGATGATAGGTCCTACATAAATGCATAGATATCTAGAGAAATAGAAGGAACAGTGTTACTTTAAAAGATACAGCAAAACAACAGTATATTAAGGCATTTTCTCAGAACTCATGAGAATATTTAAATGTTAAGTACAAAAAAGTACGTCAAAAAACCATTATAAAGGTTTGTACATAAGTGCTACTAAAAATTATTAAAAGATATTTTACTAAGATGTCTAAAAAAATTACACCTTTTTCCAGCAATAGTACAAATACCTACATGTCCAACTTTCTAACAGAAGGTATATAAAATAATTAAAATAAATGTAGGCCGGGCACAGTGACTCACGCCTTTAATTCCAGCACTTTGGGAGGCCGAGGCAGGAGATCACAAGGTCAGGAGTTTGAGACCAGCCTGGCCAACATGGTGAGGCCCTGTCTCTACTAAAGATACAAAAAATTAGCCAGGCATGGTGGCGTGCGACTGTAATCCCAGCTACCGGGGAGGCAGGAGAATCGCTTGAACCCAGGAGGCGGAGGTTGCAGTGAGCCGAGATCACGCCATTGCATTCCAGCCTGGGAAACAGGGCGAGACTCCATCTCAAAAATAAGTAAATAAATAAATAAATAGTAAGTAAATAAATAAATAAAATAAATAAATAAAATAAAATTGATGTAAAACTTGGATATCTTCACATTATTAAACTTGGGATCTGGGTTCTATTAATTATTTCCCAGTTATATTCTGAAATGTCACTGTTAGTGCTTTCATATAGCATTTTTTAGGAACAAAAGATCAGTTTTATTTTTTAAGAAAAAGAGAAAGTTTCCATGGGCACATAAACCTTCCTTCACTCTGGGAAAAGAAGAGAACCTTTTTTTGGTTCCTGATTGGTGACTGTGATCCAAAGGAAAACAAATTTTAAATACAGTAAGGTATGGGCACTGGCAGTCTTACAGCCCATAAAATATTACTTGGTATTTCTCAGAGCTTTGTTACAATTAACAACTGAAAGCGGGCTACAGGGAGACTCTCCTCACTTGAGTGCTGCAATGTAGTCTTAAAAATTCCAGGCTAAAAAGTATTCCTGAGATTGGTTTGTTTTGCCTACACCACACATTGCACTAGCTCTCTTCTGTTCTGTTTGTTATTGCTCTTTATTTTCCTACAATTCTTTTCAAAAACAGAAATCATTTTTAACCATTATCTGAAATTGTATTAAAAATTATTGCCTTCAGACAGAAAAAGTGTTAGTAGAAGTAAACTATAGTTACTATTGGATTCCTTAGATAAAACTAGGTATCTACAGGTGAGACAACAGTTTTTTACTGTATATTAAATGGTCAAAGAAGGTTTGGTGTGTGAGATTTAAATAAACCACATAAGAGAAAAAGAACAGTTGCTTTTGCTCTGATGCCAATTCTATCTTGTGACCTCATGATGCTAGAAAGGTCCGTGTTTTATGATCATCATCTCCAACACTCGAGGTCTTGCCAGGGAGAAGGTAAGGTGGGGTAAGGGATATAGATATTCTAAGAACCACAAGAAATCAGGCCGGGCGCGGTGGCTCAAGCCTGTAATCCCAGCACTTTGGGAGGCCGAGACGGGCGGATCACGAGGTCAGGAGATCAAGACCATCCTGGCTAACACGGTGAAACCCCACCTCTACTAAAAAATACAAAAAAAAAACTAGCCGGGCGAGGTGGCGGGCGCCTGTAGTCCCAGCTACTCGGGAGGCTGAGGCAGGAGAATGGCGTAAACCCGGGAGGCGGAGCTTGCAGTGAGCTGAGATCCGGCCACTGCACTCCAGCCTGGGCGACAGAGCCAGACTCCCTCTCAAAAAAAAAAAAAAAAAAAAAAAAAAGAAATCAGAGTGATACCACAAGAAATACTGAAACTCTGATTTATTATTTATGGATCTTAAAAGATTAAGAGATTTTCAAAAGGATGAAAGACACCAATAACTTTATTTAGATTTTGAGGCCAAATAAAGAGGCACGTTTGACCAAAGAAAGCAGGAGAAGTTGTAAATAAATTTTGTGCTAAATACCCACTAGAGGGAGCAAGGAATTAGAGAAACATTTGTGGTATGCTATTTAGCATTTACTTTGTCATTAATGACTATTCGTCAGGTCAACAATCTAATGTTTTAAAATTCTAACATTTTAAAGTTCTTAGTTTTAATTAAATAATCTTTGGCAAATAAACTGCAGGAAGTTTAAAGCAAGAAAATATTTCCTTTTATCTAAACGTATAAAAGATAAAACAATGTTTTTACAAAACACGTAAGATGAATTTGATTACTGCAGAAAGGGAATTTTAAATAATGAACAACGATATACACAGGTGCTAAAATCACATCTTTACAGAAACTGAGGCTATCTACTGACAATAAAGCCAGAGCCCCTGATAAAAGAACATTACCATTAAAATAAACTGAAGTGAGGAAAAGTCATCTTTTCTCTTCAACTAGAAGTATCCTGCTAATATAACACCTTTCCAATTAACATAACACTGACAATGAAATGATAATGGTAAGTACTTTCTTTGCTGGAATGTTTGTTACAGTCTTTCTTTTTCTGCTGATAAGCAAATCAGTTTCTTTTATTAACAGCTCTAAGGAAGTTAATCTAAAAATCCACACGAAAAACTTAATACACTGGCAGTTTGACTACAAATAGCTGCTTGCTGGATTTGTTCACTAATGAATTACTGCAATTTCTGTTTTAAGGATAAGGGAATTAACAAAGTAAAGAAACCCACTTAGCTTACACAATAAAGTTTCTTTCTTTTTTTTTTTTGAGACAGAGTCTCACTTTGTTGCCCAGGCTGGAGTGCAATGGCCGGATCTCGGCTCCCTGCAAACTCCACCTCCCGGGTTCAAGTGATTCTCTTGCCTCAGTCTCCCGAGTAGCTGGGATTACAGGCACGCACCACCATGCCCAGCTAATTTTGTATTTTTAGTAGTGATGGGGTTTCACCATGTTGGCCAGGCTGGTCTCGAACTCCTGACCTCAAGCAATCCACCCACCTCGGCCTCCCAAAGTACTGGGATTACAGGCATGAGCCACCACACCCGGCTGTAAAGTCTCAAAATATAATCTTTTATTTGGCCAGTCAGGCACTTAGGAAACGGTATCCACTAAAACACCGAAATGGCTACATGATTCCAAATTCTTCTGATGAGCATCTCTTGCACAAAAGCAGTAATGCTTTTTCTTTGGGAGAACCTCTGAAAATTCAAACTTAAAAACTATGTTAGATATGTACCTTCCTGTGTAGCACATAAATAAAACATGGTATGGTAAATAAAGATATTACTCACCGTTTTCCCTTGGAGGCTCTGGGGACTAACAGACTGTAAAGTCAGGCCAGCTGGCACTGACCTTCTGTCAGGCACATAGACATGCTAGGAAAGTAAAGGTACAATGTAATTCTGCAATAAAGTTTTTTTTTTCTTGTCAATGTCAGCAAGGAGAAATCTTAAATTCATATTATGAAATACCATTTAAAATTGCTATTAGTGCTTATGAAAGATGATAGAGACTAAAATTTCTTGTGTCATAAAATACTAATGTGGGGCTGGATGAGGTGGCTCACGCCTGTAATCCCAATGCTTTGAAAGGCCAGGGTGGACAGATCACTTGAGGTCAGGGGTTTGAGATCAGCCTAGCCAACATGGTGAAACCCTGTCCTTTCTCTACTAAAAATACAAAAAAATTAGCCAGGTATGGTGGCATGGGCCTATAATCCCAGCTACTCGGAAGGCTGACGTGGGAGAATTGCTGGAACCTGGGAGGTGGAGATTGCAGTGAGCCGAGATAGCGTCATTGCACTCCAGCCTGGGTGACACAGCGAGGCTCCATCTCAAAAAATACTGATGTGGATGAGCAGAGTAATTCTTTTTTTTAAGGCAGAATCTTGCTCTGTTGCCCAGGCTAGAGTGTATAGCGAGATCTCAGCTCACTGCAACCTCCACCTCCCGGGTTCAAGAGATTCTCCTACCGCAGCCTCTCAAGTAGCTGAGATTACAGGCGCATGCCACCACACCTGACTAATTTTTGTAGTTTTAGTAGAGACGGGGTTTCACCACGTTGGCCAGGCTGGTCTCTAACTCCTGGCCTCAATTAATCTGCCTACCTCGGCCTCCCAAAGTGCTAGGATTACAGGAGAGAGTCACTGTGCCCGGCCTGAACAGAGTAATTCTAAAATCTGGTTTAGAGGTTGTCAAAAACTCTCTGGCCTCAGGATCCCTTTATATTTTTAAAAAGAAAATTTAGTGGCAAGAGTGGCATTGTTTAACAGTTCTGCAAAACTTTAATGTCTGGCTGGATTCTTGTATCTGTTTCTGTATTTAATCTGTTGTGATAATCTCTTTAAGTGGAAGTATGTGAAGAAAATTTACCCTCAATATACACAGTTGGAGAAAAGGAAGAAAACTTTAATAGTTTTTCTTGATAATTATAGATGTTCATCCCTGACTTTGCGCTATAGCTCAAAAAAGTGGTATTTTTTTAAAGGTTAGTAACAGTGATATCTGAAACCTTATCAACGAACTTTTGATACTCTGTTACATTAATATGCACTGGTCTATTTGAACTTTAAATGAATCTTGTGATATTAAACACTGGTCATTTGGAAAATATTGGTTCAGTGAGTTATGCAATGTTCCAAATGTTGACATATGTCAGTATACAATATTAAAAAATCACCACTGTTAATATCACCACCAATCTTTAAGCACCGGAAAGCTGTCAAGTTCAGAGTGGCAGATACATGATTTCCAAAATTCTATTTTTTTGCCTGAAAACTCAAACGTTGTCATCAGTGACAAATACTGTCAGTTGTTTTCCTTGAAGTGACAGGGTAGCATTCATTTTGAGAAAGTGTGTCTATCAAATACCACGTCTGAATATTGATAGTTGTCTTTTGTTCAAATAAAAATGCATTTCACAATAAAAGGAGCTAATTCAGCTTGCAACTCCGTCACGTGTTTTACTGGGAGATAACTGTTAGCACTTTGGTATGCCATAGAAGTGCTTTATGCATTTACCATTTCATCACAAGTAAACAGTAAAAGAATATGTAACAAAATGTTACAGTTCAATAAAATTATTTTCTATTGTTTCATGAATGAGATTTATAAGTGAACCTGATACTTCTATTTTTTTACTTCAAGTGTGTGGCAGTGAAGGCTACAATGACCACTAGTATAGTCTGGAGCCACTGTCTTGATTTATGCTAAGGTGCCAGAAATGTTACTCACCATCACTTCTGTACTACTAGCGCAAGTAGGAATACAATGAATAATGCCTTATTACGATTATAAAAATAGTTTTGACTCCCTGAAAGGGTCATGGGGAGGGAACCCCCACAGGGTTCCATGAACTACACTTTAAGAACCACTGATCTAGATCAAGGAAGAGGACAGGATAGTTTGAAAGAAAAATTTGGCAATTTTGGAGAAGTCTTTTAGGAGTAGCAGTAGTAGATGGTCGGGAATCGGGTAGAGAATATAGATTCATCTCATATTTGCTGTCAAAACAGATGATATATTCTGGCCAAAACCATGAAAAATACGATTAAGAACGACAGCATGTAATTTAGAGCCAATTGTTACACCAAACACATTAATTTGTCTTACATCAGATTTTTCTTATATATTATTACTATTTTTATATCAATCATGATTTAGTCTTTGGACAAAGTGAGGAAACACTGAACTTTGTTACAATGGAGTCCAAAGTGAGCCTTTTTTGTGAGGCAAATTAAAACTTTCTTCAAAGGAAATTCCTGATTAATTTATTAATCTTAATAAATATTTATGGAAGTATCAAGCAAATGCTTTAGGTAATAATGCAGCTGAAGGATTCAGCCTGTCACAAGGGTAAGAAAAGAGCATTTTAAAATAGTATAAAGCAATAACTTATTACTATTTTTTGAGTCAGAGTCCTGCTCTGTCGCTCAGGCTGGGGTGCAGTGGCGCAATCACAGCTTACTACAGCCTCAACCTCCCAGGTTCAAGTGATCCTATGGCCTTGGCTCCCCAAAGTGTTGGGATTACAGGCGCGAGCCACTATGTCTGGCCAAAGAATTCTTTAGTATGAAAAAAAAAAAGCAATTTAGGATAGACATTAGGGAACTGGCTGTGTACTAGCTGACTAATCAAAGCCACTGCTTTAGCATTATGAAAAGCTGATTGATACAAAGCACTTTGAATTCACTTCAAGTAATCTATACTAAGCAATGCTTAAACCAACTTAATATACAAAGTAAAACATGATCTCCATTTTTTAAATGTATATATACCATTAAGCTCTAATATTAAATTGAGTGTTTAAGGAGTTATCTGAATATGCTATTATTGTTGGCTAGAAGATAAAGTTAACACTTTTATCCTCATGAACAACAGGATGAGCTTGATACAAAATTTCAGGTATGCCAGAAGACAGTAGGTGTAGAATTTGCAAGTGTGTAAAAAGCCAATAACAATGAATGTGGTCTAGGCCAGGCACAGTGGCTAACGCCTGCAATCTCAGCACTTTGAGAGGCCGAGGCCAGTGGATCACTTGAGATCAGGAGTTCAAGACCAGCCTGAGCATCAAGGTGAAACCATGACTCTACTAAAAATACAAAAATTAGCCAGGTGTGGTGGTGCATGTCTATAATCCCAGCTACTCGGGAGGCTGAGGCAGGAGAATCACTTGAGTCCGGGAGGCAGAGGCTGCGGTGAGCTGAGATTATGCCTCTGCATTTCAGCCTGGGCAACAGAGTGAGACTTCGTCTCAAAACAAAACAACAACAACAACAACAAAACCAAAAACAACCAATGAAATGCACGTGGTGTTAACCTACATGGAGAACTGATGAGACATGGTATCAAGCAGAGAATACAGAATGCATCTGCTCAAAAGAACTGCTCCTGTGTTCCTGAGGGATGAAGTGTTGCAATTAGGTATTTTTTATACATGAGATCTTAATGGTGTAAAATATTTTTATTTATTTTTTAAAACAAAATAGAGAGCTGCCTTGCTTACTTTCTCCTCATTCTTTTGTCTCTCACATTTAAAATAGTATACTAGAAAGAAAACACAGCATTTATAAGGTAGTGAGTTAACATAAAATGAGCAGCTATTTTACCTTAGGGTGATGGGCCCTGTGTCTGCGGTCTATTGTCACATCTCCTCTCTGAATTGGTGAAGACACTTCCGATCTGTAAGTTCGTTGAGGGGAGTATCCCTGATAAGCAGCTATTGACCCGTGGGATGGTGATGTGGGAATAGAGTGCATTGTCTGGTCAGAAATATTTACCATGGTTTTGGGACTACTCAAAGTACTGTGTCGAGGGAGGGTGCTCTGTTTATTATAAAACTGACGCTGCTGCCATTCGTAGAGCTGCCACATTGTGTCATCTCTCATGGACCTCCGTTTCTCCTCCGCTCCGGGTCCTAACGTCTTGTCATGAGTGGAAGGGGCTACACTGCAGATACTTTCAGGCCTTGTCTTGCTGTTTCTTGGGAGTGTTCTATAACCTTCAGGGTAGCGGGCCATAATCTGGGCTCTGTGGCTTGGCATATTTCTTGGTAATGTTTGGTAAGAAATTACTCTAAAATAAAAAAATAATTAAAATGTAAACATGAAGAAGAGTTATTTTCCACATTCTAAATTAGAGTACATTTCTTTTGTTTCAGTAAGTAAAACATATACTAGAATTTTTTTTTTTTTGGAGATGGAGTCTCGCTCTGTCACCCAGGCTGGAGTGCAATGGTGCGATCTTGGCTCACTGCAACCGCCGCCTCCCAGGCTCAAGCGATTCTCCCGCCTCAGCCTCCGAAGTAACTGGGATTACAGGCATCCACCACCATGCCCGGCTGATCTTGAATTCCTGACCTCAGGTAATTCACCTGCCTTGGCCTCCCAAAGTGCTGGGATTACAGGCATGAGCCATCGTGCCCGGCTTAGAATGTATTTTTTTTTAAAGATTGAAATATTATACAAGATATACACTATTAATAGATTTTAATCTTTTTATGAAATTCAATTTAACAAATTTAACACAGGATAAACAGCATCTATATCAATTACACAAAATATTATTAGTTCCACACAATGTACTGTTTGATTTAAAGATGAAAGACTATTATACTTCGTTTGAGAAATAAGAATGTTTAAAATCTAATCTCAATTCTGTCTCTGTATTTTATTTGTTCTTATATAAATAAAGTCTCATTTTCATACATCTCATCAGAGCACTAGGATTTCTATGTATGGATGAAATATGAAGTGAGTTACACCCATAGAGCATAAAGACAGGAAAGAAATTACTGCAAGTATATGTTGACTATTCTGTTGGATGTTTTCTTTCAGGAAGTATGGTTATTTATGGGAGTAAATACATCAGTACATTTGGTTTGAAGGAATAACTTCCTTTCATAGCTTTTCCTAACTTGAAATATAAAAATGACTTGGAGTTGACGCTCAGAATTCTATTAAAGATAAAATACTTAAATATCACAATATTTCAGATATAAAACTGCAATCTCAGCAATTTTCTAATGTTTCCAGCACAGTAATTAATATTTCACTTCATAGATGGTGGAATATTTCTCAGGAGGCTTTTTAAAGCAATCTAAAAATGCTTCATGTACATTATGCATGCAAAGTATAGTTCTTTTAAAATGCTAATTTTGGGAATTGGATATGTAATTGCATATTACTAAGCACAGAATATTACCATTTCCAAAAATCAAAGAATACAATTTCAGTTTACTACTTTTAAAAAAACCACTTTGATAAACACACTATTTTGAATTTATAAAACTATCACAGTGCCAACTTCATACTAGGTGAAATTCATGATATAAAAAAGATTTTTAAAAGTTAGTTAGGGGAGGAGTGAGCCAGAAAAAAAGAGTCAATTAAAAACTCTATGTAAAGTTAACATTTGTGTTTCTCTATTATCTTTTTTTTTTGTAGATAGTGTTTTGCTCTGTTGCCCAGGCTGAAGTGCACTGGCACAATCTCAGCTCACTGCAACCTCTGCCTCCCAGGTTCAAGTGGTTCTCCTGCCTCCGCCCCCTGAGTAGCTGGGACTACAGGCACCAGCCACCAAGCCCAGCTAATTTTTTGTACTTTCATAGGTTTTGCCATGTTGCCTAGGGTCATCTCGAACTCCTGAGCTCAGGCAATCTGCCCGCCTCAGCCTCCCAAAGTACCAGGATTATAGGAGTGGGCGCCCGGCCTCCTATTTCCTTTAGATATAGAGGTGTAGGTATAATTCAAATTCTAAATACAAACATACTTTTTTTTTTTTGAGACGGGTTCTCACTCTGTCACCCAGGGTGGAGTGCAGTGGAGTACACTGCAGCCTCGTCCTCCTGGGCTCAAGTGATCTTCCTGCCTCAGCCTCCTAAATAGCTAGGAATACAGGTATATGCCACCATGCCTGGCTAATTTTTTATTTTTCCCAGACATAACCTTTTAACCACCACCACCACCACAAGAAACATCTAGATTAGAAAAAGCAAGATTAGGCTGGGTGCGGTGGCTCACACCTGTAATCCCAGTATTTTGGGAGGCTGAGGAGGCAGATTGCTTGAGGCCAGGAGTTCGAGACCAGCCTGGCCAACATGGTGAAACCCTGTCTCCACTAAAAATACAAAAATCAGCCAAGCATGGTGATGTATGCCTTAGTTCCAGCTACTCGGGAGGCTGAGGCAGGAGAATCACTTAAACCTGGGAGGTGGAGGTTGCAGTGAGCTGAGATCGTGTCACTGCACTCCAGCCTGGGTGATAAGACAGAGACTTTGTCTCCACAAAATAAATAAATAAAATAAAATAAAGAATATGAAAAAGCAAAATTAAATTACAAGTATTCATCTAATACTATCATCTCCATGGGCATAAATTTATATCCTAACATCAAAATCAACATAATTCAATGAACTAAGTGTGTAGAAGGGTTGGGACTCCTCAAACTCAGGTTTCCTGATCTCTTCTTTCAATGTTTAGTTAACAACTTTTTCCTAGTATTGCATGGGCCCTTACTGGTTGTGAAAATGTCAGAGATATTGGTAATTACATGGACCAGAAGGGATTAAAGATTTGATGGGAAAATTATTTGAACATACTCTTAATAATCTGGGAATCCTTCGCTGATAATCTGGATATAAGAGCTCTCTTTTGAGCCAAATACCTGTCAGCAACAATGCACAAATACTGCTATATTATAGTTACAAAAAGATTTCAGCCTGGGTGCAGTGGCTCACCCCTATAATCCCAGCACTTTGGGAGGCCATGGCGGGTGGATCACTCAGGAGTTCAACATAGCAAAATTCCATCTCTACAAAAACTACAAAATATTAGTCGGGCGTGGTGGCGTGCTCCTGCACTCCCAGCTACTTAGGAGGTTGAAGCAGGAGAATTGTTTGAACCCGGGAGGCAGAGTTTGCAGTTGCAGCGAGCTGAGATTGTGGCACTCCAGCCTGGCAACAGAGGGAGGGCTCTGTCTCCAAAAAAAAAAAAAAAGAAAAGAAAAAAAAAAAGATTTCATTGTGATGAGGTGTAATGAATTGAGTGCACTGGACTATGAGGCACGCAATTAATAAACTGCCTGCATAATTGGTATCTATTGGGGTAGTAAAATTATGTTACCTTTATACTAAGAGAAAATCTCACGTTAAATATACCTTCTCTTTGTGGGTTAAAGCATCCAGAGGGGATATAGTGGGAAAACAGTAAAGCAGGAAAAGTGGTTGATCAAAAATCAAGACAGCCAAGTTTTGATTCCTGCTTTCCTATTAAGTACTTAGACCTTAGATAAGTTACATATTCTGGGGCCTTCAGAATATTGGGGGCAGGGTAGGGGAGTAGGGGAGAAAAGACCAAGATATTTTATATATATATAAAACACTTTCCAAGCTAAGCACTGTACTAAGTATTGGGGATAAAAAGAAAAAAAAAGTAAAAAGGTTATATAGCATGCTGGGGGATGTACACATGTCAACAAATCACGACAATACGTTGTATGAAGACTGTCTAATAGAAGCATATGAAAATTACCCTATGGATATTTCAGGATGTCAATATAGCCAAATATATATATATATATATATATATATATATATTTTTTTTTTTTTTTCCTGAGATGGAGTCTCTCTTTGTCATCCAGGCTGGAGTGCAGTGGCATGATCTCTGCTCACTGGACCTCTGTCTCCCGGGTTCAAATGATTCTCCTGCCTCAGTCTCCCAAGTAGCTGACAGGTGCCTGCTGCCATGCCCAACTAATTTTTCTATTTTTAGTAGAGACGAGGTTTCACCATGTTGGCCAGGCTGGTCTTGAACTCCGTACCTCAGGTGATCCACCCACCTCGGCCTCCCAAAGTCCTAGGATTACAGGTGTGAGCCACCACGCTTGGTCCAAGAGATCATACTTGGGGTTACAGAAAGAGCTTGTGGGTTAAACAGAACTAAAATGCAGGTCTCCTACTTTCTAAAGCAGTACTCTTTTAACTATGCCAGCGATCCCTAAACTTTTGGATTAAAAAAAAAAAATCCCTCTATTTTAAAATTTTGCCTAAGATATGAATATTATTTTTAAAAAATCATACTCATCTATTACAATGACTTAAACATAAAAAGGCATTAAAAATTAGGAAGGATATAATCTTATAGTACCAGAGAGCCCTTTATATGCTATTAAAATCTAGCCAATGGCCAACTGATACTGGGATCCTCTTTTTTCATCTAGAAGATGATTTCATCATAAACTTACTCCAGAGCTCTAAAATTCTATGCCTTATTTTTTAAAAAAATATTTCTAATTATTTCAACCATTTCTCCTAAACTAAATTTCCTTCCTCATGCTGGTTGTTCTTCAGGATTTCAATGTCTCTACTCAAAAACAGGTTGTTCAAAATTGAACAAAATGTCTCCAGACAAGAACCCCTGCATTCAGGCCAACCATCTGATGCCTTCAGGGGTGGAGAGAGGGAGAAAGGTACCCAATTGCTCTTATATAACCAGTATAAAGAGTTCAATTTCTTGAGGCTTTCCCTCCACGGGTATTTCCCATTTTGTTTCTGCTTGGTCTTCCTCCCCCTCTTCACCTTCTCTGATCACATTAAAGCCAGAAACTGGAAAACATCCAGAGCTGGCAACCCCATGACTATGTGCAAATATGTCAGCTAGGGAAAGCTGACTCCATCAAAGAGACTGCCCTAGTACAAAAGCAATTTACCCTGACACACCTTGGTTTATCTGGTCATTTACAAATTCAAGAAATACTACAGTAGGCTTAATATGCAAAAAGCTAGAGATTAAGCACTGAGCTATATCATAGAAACATGTAAGGAAGGGGACATACATTATCAATCTAAAACACACCCAAAATTCTTATAAGCTAATGTCGAAATTATAGTTCAAAAACATAATTACACTAAAACACTTCTGTCAAGCGCTCTGAAGTATTCATAATGTGTGGGTTGGGCCCTGTTGTAGAGATGTATATTGAACCTGAACTGTCAACTATCATATGATCATTAATAGCAAGATATGTATATTTTTAGTAAGCTTGGTTAATTAATGACATTAAAAGGCTCTTCTGTCATCTTTGGAACCACATTTGGGGAATTTTAATTAAAAATTAAATTATTATCAAGCAAATTTATTTTTATCCCATATATTTCTAGCACTTTGAGACCTGTTTTTCAAAACTACAATTCCCTTTAGTGACTTTTTTCCCCAAAGAAATTCAAATTAAGCAAAGTGTGATTTACTTTTAACTGAAAGCTTAAGAAATGAACACTCTAAGCTCCTGCATCAGATTTAGTGCCCTATTGACCAGCAGCTGCCTGTCAAGCACCATAAAAACCCTTTCCCTGTGATTCTGCCATGCAGAACAATGGCTTAAGGACCATGCATCTTAACAGTGCCTGCCACTCAGAATGAAACTTTAAAGCTTTGTTCACAGATGCAGGGATCTACTATTTGACTAAATATTAAACCTTTTTCTTCCTATCAGAACTTTAATAATAAAAGGCTTTCATAAAGCTTTTTAAAAAATGATTTAGATATTGAATTACAATTGTTTCTTTCCACCAATAAAAAATCATTTCATTATAAAACACAACTATTTTTATAATGAAGTTTATATCATAATGTAGATGATATTTTCTTATGATCCAAAGTAGACTCAAGCCATTTCAAAAGAACATCTAAATAACAGTATTTATAAAAACTGGCATAACAGTTAACCCAAAAATGTAGGAGGAACCCAGAGAAAACCTTAGCTCAAAATAACCTAAAACCAGCCTTCAGAAGCTGTTGGTCTATGTCCAAAAGAAAGAAGTCACAGAAAGACTTTACTGATATTAATTACTCATAAAGGAACCTAAAACCAGTATTTATACTTAACAATTTTTAAAAAATCCTCTAATTTCAAGATATCTGTTGACTCTCTACATACATTTTTAAACTTAAGAAAGTATGATTTTTGGGGAAAAGTGATTCTTCTTTGAAGTGAGATTTAACATGGTGAGCAGAGACTCAGCAATCTTCTGATTTAGATTTTTATTATTTTCCTGAAAGTCATTACTTTCCCAAGTACTTTCAAACATCCTTTCATTTTTTTTCCCCCAGAACTGCTTCCTGCTTCTGTCTAATCAAATTGTATTAATTTATTTTCCTGCTAGTAATATACGAGCTTATTCATGTTTGTCATTCCATCCAACATTAAGTAATCTAATTTTTATTCACCTGTGCCTTCATTAATTCATTTATTTATGATTTTGGTCAATCTGGTAAGTGAAAAATAACGCCTAATTGATTCTTTAATGTGCAATTGCCTGATTACTGCTAAATTCGAGCATTTGCCAGTTCTTTTTAAAGAAAATTGACAAATAAGATTGTACATATTTATGGTGAACAACATGCTTTGAAATATATGTATTGTGGAATGGCTAAATCAAGCTAATTAACATATGCATTACCTCACATAACCCATCCAACAACTATCTTCTCTTTTCCCAAATCTTTTCTTTGCAGTAAAAGGCACCAAATCACCCTAGTTGCCCAGGCCAAAAAGGTAGGGTGCCATTCTCGATTTCCCTCAAGAAACTTCCAGATTGGGGTGCAGTGGCACAATCCTGGCTCACTGCAACCTCTGCCTCCCGGGTTCAAGAGATTCTCCTGCCTCAGCCTCCCGAGTAGCTGAGATTACAGGTGAGCACCAAAATGTCTGGTTAATCTTTGTATTTTCAGTAGAGATGGGGTTTCACCATCTTGACCAGGCTGGTCTGGAAATCCTGGCCTCAATTGATCCACCTGCCTTGGCCTCCCAAAGTGCTGGGATTACAGATGCGAGCCACCTCGCCCGACACCAAACTTAATCTTGAGCAAGACGGGTTTGCAGTCAAACACATCAAAGCAACCAACTAGACTTGTCAATTGTATCCTGAATACATCCTCTTCCTCTTCTCACTTCAATCACTTAAGTAACTTTTGAACTTTCTCCAATTTACTCTCCAGATTTCTGAGACACCAATCTGAATATATCTCTCCTAGCTTATGTCTCTAGCCTTGTTCTTCACTCATTGTTTCCCCAGTTACAACCAAGTCATACTAGATTTCTTTTGATTTTTCTGTTCTCTACTAACCCTGGAGCTTTGCATATTTAAGCCCTAACATGCATGTCATTCTTCGTATCACAGCTTGTGTTTTGCTTCCTCTACAAAGGTTTTCCTGGACTCTGAATCCTTAAGATTGTGTTGGTTATCCGAAATGTGTTCCTACAGCACCCTGGTCTGCCTTCATTGTATCTGTCATACTAAATTGCATCTACTTATTCAACTGTCTCCTCTAGTACAGAATTATCTTTGTGAGAACCTGGACTGTATCTTTTCATTATTTTACTTTGTGGTCTCACAATTAGCAAATAGCAATTGTACAATAAATATATTAAGAAAAAGTGCATGCAAAAATGAATAAATGCTCACATAAATACATTTACTTTTCATTTTTTTTAGAGTTGGGTTCTCACTGTGCTGTCAGACTGGAGTGCAGTGGCACAGCCATAGCTCACTGCAGCTCCCAACTCCTGGGCTCAAGCAATCCTTCTACTTCAACTTCCCCCAAGTAGTTGGTACTACAGGCATGCAACACTATGCTTGACTAATTTTTAAAAATGTTTTCAGAGATGGGGTCTTGCGAGGTTGCCCAGGCTGGACTCAAACTCCTGGCCTCAAATGATTCTCCTGCTTTGGCCTCCCAAAGTGCCAGGATTATAAGCACAAACAACTGCTTCTGGCCTTGTATTTAATAGTTATGTGCATTCTTATTTAAAGAAAGCCCAAGAATAAGACTGAAAATTAGGGAGCAGTAGGCCTTTGCTGCCTCCATATTACTTGTCTCAGAAGATCCTTACATTGCACCAAGCTGCAGAAACTGGTAATGGAGGACAGTCAGAGAAGAGGTGATAATGGCAGGGGACAAGACAGGGGTGAGTTGGGAGGATAGGGCTTGCTCCCTCCCTCTCCCAAATAAACTCGATCTCTACCTGTAACCCAAGCCTTTTCTTGTGCTTGAACAGGTAGGATGACTCCTTGTCACTAACAAAGTTGAGTGACAGAACATAAGAGACAGAGAATAAATACTTATATCTGATCATCATAAACAAAAGACATAGTAATGAAGCTGTAATAGCTAAAACACAATTTAAACCAATATTTTAATCAGTAGCTCAGAAACCAATCTCCACCAACACAGCATTAAAAAAACCTGGGTTCATAATAACAAGACATATACTTACCCCCTGGTTTCTTCTTCATGACCCCTCCCCTTCTGGATTTTAATCCACTGTTCCAACTGCTGCATTGAATTTGTTCTCTGTATGACTCGATCAGCCTCTGTGTATAAGGGCCCTGTACTGGGGCGATTTCCACCTCTAAGATCTGCCAGGCTAACATTGACTATTTTGTTCTCTGAACTATTCAAGTTGACTGGTCTGTAGTGTGCAGTTTGAGCAGGGCATGCTGACCCACTCTCATATTCAGATGGCAGAGAATTCAGCTTTACACTATTAATTTTTGTTAACGGTCTATCTTGACCATCCTTCTGAAATCCGTATTTTTCAGCTTCTAATGCCTTTTTTTCTTCAATTTTGCTCATTTCCTTGTTTTTTTGATTGTTTTGGATCTCTGGTTTAATTAGAACTCTATGGTTGGGAATGTTATTGCTTTCCTTAGTTGGTGCATTTTCAGATGTAATCTTGTCCACTCTGAAATCAGAGAAGAAAATCATAGTAAATCAGATGAAATAATGCACATATTACTTCTGGGATTCAATCTAGGAAAAATTCTACTTTATGGGGGTGGGGGCAAGGGGACTGGAAAGGGTTACAGTGGACAAGTCTACACAAACACTCAATGCTGTGATATTAACATTCAAGCACAACACCAGAATGTATAAACAGAAAGGGGGGAAAAAGAAAACATAAAAGAACTAGAGGGTAAAAAGTGATGTGTGCTCCCACCATTAGGAATCTGAAAATAAAGCAAATTAAGACTGCCTTAAGACAGTTAAACCACAAAATCTACACTCCTTGTTGACTCATGAGACAAACATGACTCTGGTTGTGGAAATGGCTGCAACAGGAAATTACAGTCTGATGCTATCAAAGATCTGAACCATATGATTAACTCCTTTTGTCTGTATTCAAGAGGAACTCAGTATGATTTTAGAGCTCTTGAAGTCTGACTGCACATGTCCGGCTTGCGACTCTGTTCTTACTAGCTGTGTCTTCAGGCAAAGTACAGAACACTTAAAGTGCCCTATGCTTCCTCTTTGGTAAATGGGTATGATCATGTCACCAAGATCAGAGGGTTCTTGTGAGAATCAGATGAGTTAATAAGTGGCTGGCACAGACCTTACTACCATGATAATTCTATCACATCAAGCAAACTTGGGTTAGAATCTGGCATCCCATGTCCACTGGCCACTGAAAGAATGAGCTAGTTAACAGCATGTGTCTAGGTCACTTGACAGTTGTACTGCTCACTAATCACTTCCAGACTCTGAAAAGATCAAGCTGAGTGTCTGAACCTGCACGAAACTGCCAAGATCATGCCACTCTAGGAGGCCTCTCAGGAGCCAGCCAACCCTCCATATTCCAATAAATAAAAATGCTTCTATCAGAAACTAGGTTTGGTAATGCTGTCAATGTTTATGATGTGTGGAAAAGATGTAGATCTACATACATATATCTGTAATCAACTATAGATGAAGATATCTAGAAAGTTTGGAATATGGTCACTGAGGCAAAAAAAAAAAAAAAGTGACTATCTTTCTTGGAGTAAACTTATGAACCATCCATATCTTTAGGTTAGATATAAACCATAGCTTCTAGATTGGAGGCAATACTAGAATTGGGAAAATTTACTAAGATAGACTATGTGCTTCTTTCTCCTGAAAAATAAAAGTTGGCCAGCGGTGGCAGCTCATGCCTGTAATCCTAGCACTTTGGGAGGCCAAGATGGGTGGATCACCTGAGATCAGGTGTTTGAGACCAGCCGGGCCAAAATGGTGAAACCCAGTCTCTTTGAAAAATAAAAAATAAAAATTAGCCGGGCGTGGTGGTGGGCATCTGTAATCCCACCTACTCGGGAGGCTGAGGCAGGAGAATTGCTTGAACCTGGGAGGCAGATGTTGGAGTGAGCTGAGATTGTGCCACTGCACTCCAGCCTGGGCGACAGAGTGAGACTCCATCTCAAAACAAGAACAACACAAAGAAGGCATAGAAAATTTACCCTAAAAGCACGTGTATCCTTGCTATTTGGGAGGGCAGGAGTTTTAACATTAAACGTAAAATAACTGAAAAGATTTTTAAAACATAATTACTGTAGTCTATCTAAAGCTACTATTATTACTGCCATCATGATTATTATCATTATTATTTGAGACAAGGTTTCTTGCTCTATAACCCAGCGGGGAGTTCAGTGATGTGATCACAGCTCACTGCAACCTCAACTTTCTGAGTTCAAGTGATCCTTCCCTCTTAGCCTCCTGAGCAGCTGGGACTACAGGTACAAGCCACCACACCCAGCAAATTTTTAAATTTTTGGGGGGATGGGGTTTCGCTGGTTGCCTAGGTTGATCTTGAACTCCTGGGCTCAAGCAATCCTCCCACCTTGGCCTTCTAAATTGTTGGGGTTACAAGCGTGAGCCACCATGCTCAGCCTAAAGCTATTATTTTAAATTAAAACTGTGGTGCGCTTTTTTTCCTTTTTCCCCAAGATTTATCATTGAAAAAGTCATCAAAAAGACACATATGATGACTTTTCTCTAAATAGAATAAAGCTGACTCAGAAAAGTATGCTAAGGTACCATAAATAATGTAAAACTTGTGATCTAATTTTAAAAAGTGACACAAGTTATTGCAGAAAATGCACTGAGATATATAAAATGAAAATAATGGGCTTAGAGATGAAAATTATTCAGAGAATCCATATTATACTTAGATTTTTTTTTTTTAATTTTGGCCATCAATGATCTGCACACTAGGAGACTATGACATTGTAGTGAACAGGTGAAATACTTTATAAAGTTAGGGAAAATGAACTCTCAAGTTAAAAACTGGATGTTCTATTAGAGTGATATGCTCTAATAAATATTTTAAGTATTTGAGTCATACAGCAAAATGAGTGCATTAGCTTAAAACCCAGCAAACAAAATCTCTCTATACTGACTTTCACTTTGAATGACTAAATCTAATGGGGTGGGATAAAAATTCCAACAACTAGGAGTAGAAGAAAACATGTAATTTCTATAGGATAATGGATGCTAAGCTGGGCACACAGGTGGTATTAATAAACCTTGTCTGAGTAGATTACACTAACACAGACGGCTGAAAATTGTATAAGCACATAACCAGTGAACTATCAGGTTGCCAAAAGACAAGCCAAACAATTGTCATCTTTATCATCCCAAATTATGGGTAATTATTAGTTTTTAGAGTGGGAAATTTAATAAAATAAAGTAGAAACATGCTGAAATTTGGAGAAAAGTATAATATACAATATTGAAATTATTTGGACAGAAATATTTTAATTATTATACAGATTTCTGTATTCTAAACAATTCCTTAACAATTTTGCTTGGAAGTTAAAGTATTGAAGTTATATTTTTATTTTTTTTGAGAGGGTCTCACTCTGTTGCCTAAGCTGGAGTGCAATGGAACAGTCACAGCTCATAGCAGCCTCAACCTCCTGATTCAAGTGATCCTCATGCTGCAGCCTCCTGAGTATCAGGGACTACAGGAGTGTGGTACTATGCCTGGTTAATTTTTGTATTTTTGGTACAGATGGTGTTTCATCATGTTGCCCAGGCTGATCTCAAAATCCCGGATTCAATTGATCCCTCAACCTCCCAAAGTGCTAGAATTACAGGTGTGAGCCACCATGTCAGCCTGAAGATTTTAAATGAATTCTTTTCACCTACACATTTTCTCTTGTTATCAGTGCTAACCACCTCATCTTTATGCTACTCAGGTAATTTTTACACATGTAACTCCAAAAACAGATTTTCCTTCTATTTGCTCTCATCCTGGAATATGCATGTGGCAAAAGTGTTTTTTCTTAAAAATAGATGTCCTAGAGCTATATCCTAGACCCTCTTTTCTTTTCAGTTTTCCCCCAGTTCTAATTACTAGTGATTGGGTAACTTGATTTAGACTTGATATTTACAAAAATAGCACAAATACACAGCATCAACCTAAGTCTTTCAGCCAAAAAGCCAAGACTTTATTAAAATGCACACTAGAATAAGGAAAACAAAGGACTAGACGTATATTGTAACAATCCCTAATTTCCTGAGAAGAGGGAAAAAAGGCTAAACTTGCACAATAGCATCTTTCTTATATAAGATACGTGCTGAGCTGTCACTGACTGGAAGAAAAATTAACTTGCATCATAATTTTTTCTTCAAATTACAGGAATATATATATATATATATTTAAAAAGCACATTATACTACTTGTATTTATGTAGTCTGAGAATCAGATTTCCTCTAGCTAGATATATTGAAGAATATTAAAATGATTCATATCTTCAAGCAGGGAAAAACACATGGGTCAATTTTAACAGCACTTATCTATATTATTCAAGGAATCTAAGTAGTGGAGTTTCAATATAAAAAAAGGCACAATTCATCAAGAAGTGGATTTATTTGGAACCAATCTAAATGCTTGATGAACTATTTTCTGGAGACATTCACTACAAAACAAAAATTAATCAGAAATGTTGAAAAAATGAAACTATCAAAATTTCTTACTGTAATTTATTACACTTTAGAAATATCAACACACTATTATAGAAAAACACAACTTAACTTCATAAAAATAAACTCTCTTCTAAGATTTAGAATCTTAAAAACACTATCTCAAAGGATAAAAATCTGTGTAGCTTTAAGGTAACAATTAAAAACGTACTTACCGGAAATTAAAGGTAATTCTGTAAGAAGAAAGAACATTCAGTTTGAATGTTAGGATTCTGCATTCACCCCAGTACACTGATAGGTGAAAATGAATAAAGAAGAAAAAGAAGAAAAGTGGAATAAAAATGTAGGTGGTATCGCAAACTAACAAAATGTGTATTAATTTAATTCAGAACAGGAATTGATCCCTGCTTTCTGAGGAAAAAATGATTTCATACCATGACTATTAAAATGATATGTACTATGACAGTGAAATACTTGCAAGGCATGGAATAAAACAGAAGTGGAAATAACCATCATTTTTTTCTACAAGCCTTTACCTTTTCACAGGTTCTGTCTGTACCAGGGCAGCATCTAACATGGCTTTCATCCACAACTCCATTTCCTTTCCTGTATCAGTGCAGAAATAATAGGTCCGCATGTTTGGATGGGCTGCCTGATTGAAAATGACACGATCATTTTAAATAAAAATATAGGATTCTGTAAAAGAAAAAGAAAAAAAGATAAGTGATTCCTGACATAGAACATTGCTATCAAATTTCAGAGTAAGTAGACTTATCTTTTATATGAGATATGGAAATCAATCAAGAAAAATATAGCTATTAACTTGAAAAATATATATTAATTTTCCCCCCTAACTTCACCCTTTTTCTTTTAGTTGTGTGCACACTCTAAAATTTAAAAAAAAAAAAAAATGCATGGAAAGGAAAGGAGGTGAGAAATGAAGTACTTAGTGGTGCCTCTTCCATCTCCACATTTCTAACAACTTCCATTTACTGCAATTCACACCTCTTTTTTTTTGAGACAGAGTCTCATTCTATTGCCTAGGCTGGAGTGCAGTGGCACGATCTTGGCTCACTGCAACCTCTGCCTCCCTGGTTCAAGCAATTCTCCTGCCTCAGCATCCTGAGTAGCTGGAATTACAGGCATGTGCCACCATGCCCAACTAATTTTTGTATTTTAGTAGAGACGGAGTTTTGCCATGTTGGCCAGGCTGGTCTTGAACTTCTGACCTGAAGTGATTTGCCTGCCTCAGTCTCCCAAAGTGCTGGGATTACAGGTGTGAGCCACCATGCCCAGAATAAGAATATTCCCAGCAACCAGCAACAAAATTAATAGGAATGTACATGTTATGGCATTTCCCTCCTGTGTAACCAATTTCTTTAGGCGTCAAAAGGCACTGCTGTATTTTATAGGATCCTTTAAAGATATCTACACCCAAACACAAAAGATTTATAAGTGATCCAAAGTGGTGTTTCCTTTTTGAGCTGTTCCTTAATAAACTGCTCAAATGTTCTATGTTAAGATAATTAAAACCACCTACAAAGTGTTACTGGACCCTCTGAGTGGGGTTTTGGAAAAATAAAGACCACTGCCCATATTTGTGATCAATCTAAGGAACACTGGGGCTGGTGTCAAGACGATCCAGTTCCAGCCATGACTCAAGACACTAAGAGTCCCCACCCATGCTCGCCATCAGTCAAATGGAAATATTTACTAGATGATGTCAAAGTACGCAGTCTAGCTTTAAGTTCCATGCTTGTGTTCAATAATTGTCTATAAAGTTTCTACTTACCATTCTGATAAGCACTTGCATCAATGTCAACAAACTTAGCAGTGAAGCAGCTCACACATTCAGAGGAAACAATACCACAGAAGAGAGAAAGTGAAACAGCAATTACTATTCTTTTACAGATAAAATTAAAACTAAACCAAATAATTGCAGAGAAAATATACTTAACATGCATGGTCACTTTTATTGCTATTTTAGCATTGTAGTATTTTTTAAGAGTCTAAAAACGCAGAAAAAAGTCCTACAAATAGCACAAATTGATAAACATTTGCTAAACTGATAAGCAACAAAAAAATTTAAATTCATGGCCAAATAATAGTGCTACTATCATGCACCTCTACATGTGTACTTCATAAAGTTATAATTTTAAATTTTCAAAGTGTTAACCTTTGTTATAACATCACAAAATATTTAATTATGTTTCTCTGGTTTACACTGTTGATAAAAGTTTATTTTGATAGTTAATTTAAATATGAAAATACTCCCCTCTTATCCTCAGGTCTTTGCTCAAGTTACATTACCTTCTCATTGAGGCTGTCCATCACACAACCCCTTAACCTCACCACTATACCTTTCCTGTTCATACCCGGCTAATTTTGTATTTTTAGTAGAGACGGGGTTTTTCCATATTGGTCAAGCTGGTCTTGAACTCCTGACCTCAGGTGATCTACCCGCCTCAGCCTCCCAAAGTGCTGGGATTACAGGTATGAGCCACCGCACTTGGCTTTTTTTTGGGGGGCAGCGGGGGTGGGGGCAGGGGTGGGGGTGGGGGTGGGGAGGGAGTCTTGCTCTGTCGGCCAGGCTGGAGTGCAGTGGTACGATCTCGGCTCACTGCAACCTCCGCCTCCCAGGTTCAAGCGATTCTCCCACCTCAGCCTCCCCAGTAGCTAGGACTATAGGCAAGCACCACAATGTCTGGTTAATTGTTGTATTTTTAGTAGAGATGAGGTTTCACCATGTTGGACAGGCTGGTCTCAAACTCCTGACCTCAGTTGATCCTGACCTGCCTCGGCCTCCCAAAGTGCTGGGATTACAGGCATGAGCCACTGCTCCCAGCCTGCTAATGTAACATATTAATTAGCAAAAGTTGTAAATCAGCCTCAGTATTCTTTAAAAGTGATGCGAATTTAAAATTGAATCAATTTTATAACGGTATAAACATTTTCATTCTTAACTAGCAGCAGTTCCCCCCTCTTTTCTCTTAAAATGAGATTTCTGCAAGAACCTTATAGTTCTTACTCTAAAACAGACTGAAAAACTAGGTGACCTCTGAAATTTATTTTAGCCATAATCATGAAGCAAAGAATGCAAAATGATTTTTGAAAACAAAAATCTCCAAAAATAGCACTGAAGACCTCTTACATGAGAGTGATCCACAAACCAGTAATATCACAAAGATTGGTGGGTACTGTTAATCAGGGGGATCTCAGGTCTGCTTGGATTTAATAACAGCAGATTTCAGATCTCAACTTCAGTGGTCTCTGTAAAGTACCTGATGATCACGATGTACTTAGACCCAAGAACATCTTGAACATCTTTGCCATTACTCTCTAACTTTTTCAATAAATGTACATATATGTACATTTACTAAAAAAAAAATTGTTGTCTCTTATAGTACTCTTCCTCCAAATTTATTATTAATAATAATTATTATTAATACAGGGTCTCACACTGTCACCCAGGCTGAACTATAGTGATGCAAATCTTGGTTCACTGCAACCTCTGCCTCCCGGGCTCAAGTGATCCTCCCACCTCAGCCTTTTGTGTAGCTGGGACTACAGGCACACGCCACCACACCTGGCTAATTTTTGTAATTTTAGTAGAGACGGGGTTTTACCATGTTGGCCAGCCTGGTCTTGAACTCCTGGGTTCAAGCTCTCTGTCCGACTTGGCCTCCTAAAGTGCTAGGATTAACAGGCATGAGCCACTGTGCCTATCCCATTAATAATTTTTTTTTGAGACAGGGTCTTACTGTATTGCCCAGGCTGGACTGCAGTGGCATGATCATGTCTCACTACAGCCTTGGCCTCCCAGGCCCAAGTGGTCCTGTCACCTCGGCCTCCTAAGTAGCTGGGACTAGCCACGACACCCGGCTAGTATGGTTTTTTTGTTTGTTTTTAGAGACAGGGTCTCACTATGTTCCCCAGGCTCAACTCCTGGACTCAAGTGATCCTCCCACTTCGGTCTCTGAAAGTGTTGGACATCCTGGCTAACACAATGAAACCCCGTCTCTACTAAAAATACAAAAAAAAATTAGCCGGGCGAGGTGGCGGGCGCCTGTAGTCCCAGCTACTCCGGAGGCTGAGGCAGGAGAATGGCGTAAACCCGGGAGGCGGAGCTTGCAGTGAGCCGAGATAGCGCCACTGCACTCCAGCCTGGGCGACAGAGCGAGATTCCGTCTCAAAAAAAAAAAAAAAAAAAAAAGAAAGTGTTGGAATTACAGGTGTCAGCCACTGTGCCCAGACCCCAAATTTATTATTAAAAAAATTCAAACATAGCGTAACCTTGAAAGAATGCATAATAATCACCAGGACATCCATAATTATATTAATCAATTATTAGCATTCTGACATGTTCATTTTATCTAAAACCATTTGAAAGCACAGAGATGAAGACACTTGATCCCTAAATATTTTAGCACGTGCTTCCTAATTAGAGGGACATTCTTCTATATAACCATAAGACAATTAATTAATATATTTTAAATACAAAAATCACTATAACTAAGATAGCTTTTTGTAATAATCTATGGCTCAATATCCATTTTTAACCAACGCAAGTTTTGAACACAGAATTAAAAACTGTATTATTTCCTTACCTTAAAAGCATATTTGCGATTAATGTGATCTTCAGAGGTAAGCAAAGCTATTTGAAAACTAGGTAACAGTATGCTTCCCAGGATACCCTCTTCTTTCTCATCTAGGAGATTTAACATCTGATTAGAATTTTAAATGTTCTCATGAAGCAAAGTTTTTCAAGATCTATTTTTGCCAAATCGAAAGGTTCTTGTATATAAATGAACTATATTCATGTTTAGGCAGGACTTTATAAGGTTTTAAATGAAAATACCAAATAGCACAAGAATTTATACTTTGGTAAATATACTGCATTCTACAAATCCCCTTTACGTGTCATTCACTGAAAATATACTGGCATGTAAGTAATGGCATTAATCCACTCACATCTCTGATAGGATTTAAATGCTCAACCATTCTAACCCCAGACACATGGCTTTCTTGGTTACACCCTTCAGGCTTTGCTCAAAGGTCTCATCAATGAGGCCTTCCTTGACTACTGTATTCCTTGACTACTGATGTTAAAATGCTATTTATTTAACGTTTTCTCTGTTCTCCTTTGGGAATGTTAACATTTCCGACTCTCAATACCTCCGGCATACTATATGTTTCAGCTATTTATTTGCTTATTATCTTTTTCTCCATGCTAGAATGTAAGTTCTATAAAGACACTTGGAATGACAGTAGTAGATGCTCAAAAAATTTTGTTGAATAAATGAAGACACATGTGAATACATATTTAAACTATCCTATAAAAATTATATGCTTTTTAAAACATTTAACTTTGAAGGTTTGCTCTTACTATCATTCGGATACACAATAGTATGACTAAATTACAGGCCTACAAGGCAAGCACATAAAATATACCTAGGAAAATGATAAACATTAATCTTGACACAGTATAGATTCACATGCTTAACTTGTTGCTTGGGGGAAGAGATGTTTATGAAACTTGAAATATGCACTTCATTGTTATAGACCTATAAGACAAGTTAATAAAGCTGTGTCATCAGGCTAATAAACTCACCAAGGAGAAACCATAAATGGGAAATCTTTTTATTATGCTTGCTGTGTGTGCTTTTTTTTTTCCCCCTAATTATCAAAAACTTAACAAGGGATTTTATTTATTTCGTCCTCATTTCCAGAGTATCTGGTGAAACATCCAAAAGGGAAAAAGTTATATTAAATGGAGGCTTTTTTTCAGTAGCTTTTCTCATAGCAATGGAACAAAATTTTGTTTTTACTATTCTGTGCTCATTCAGGTACAAATCACTAATATGTAAAAGAATGAACGAAAGTATAGATTTAATCCAAAAGGTTAAAAAGAGTTGGAAAGCAGTCATGAATTACAGAGAATGTGACAATTTAAAAGAATAAGTCAAACCCTAATTTTGAATCCAATTTTATGTTTTATGTTTATATAAAGGGTATAGTCAGAAACAGTACATGAAGTCATCTTTATTAAAAAATCATTTTAACCAAATAATACATCCTTCTATGTTCCATAATAAAATAATCTTTCCTAAAATTGCTTCAGAATAGACAGAGGCACTAAAGCACAGGGTGATTTCCCTAGATTACCTGAGGCAGTTTTCCTGCTGCCCAGCACTAACTAGCTGTGAAATCCTAGCCAAGTTATTGATGCTTAGTATCTGTTTTAAGATCTATAAAACTGAGGACAATAGGACTTACCTCAAAAGATTGTTGAGGGTTAAATGAGTTAACACATATAAAAAACTCAGCACAGAGGGTGAAGCATTAAATAAATATTGCCATTATTATATAAAATTAAAGACAGTGCATATAAAAAAATCTTCGCCTGTCAAATGACTACCCTGAGTTCTTCAGCTTCTTAAACTGCTTCTAATCATGACCTTCTTCTGTTTAGTTCTATATCAATCCTGACTGAAGCACTGTCCTAGTTTCCATCACCTAGAGAGCCTCATAGACTGACAAAGAGTAAGTACTGAGTAATGTTTGTAGAATGAAAGAACTCTCCACAGGGTCAGCCAAGGCCTTTCTGAGATTGCATGGCAGCCCATTTTCTTTTGTCTCTGCCATTTCCTTCCTTCACTTTGCCACAGCTGATGGTTCCAAGAACAACACTCTCCAAAAAGCTTTCTACATATTAATCTCCATCACGGAGTTTGCTTCCTAGGGAACACAACCTGGGACAGGAGCCAGGAGAATCTCAACATTTTACTGGATACAAGTGACATTTTAGATTCCCCATTTCTACTTAGTTTTAAAGATATTTGGGAATAAGACAAAAAAATACATGCAATTACAACTGGGTAAATATCACTAATTATCATGTATAACCTGGAATACTCCAACACTCTGTTAACTGGTCTTTTGGCTTCTAATTACAGTGCTAGAAGTGATTTTCCTAAAATGTACTCCTGATCCTACTATTATTCTTGCACTCAACATAGAGTTCATTAGAATGGCAAACAAATGCCCTCTGTGCCTTAATCTTTCATTTTTTTTCTTAAGAGATGAAATCTATGCTGCCCAGGTTGGTCTTGAACTTTTGGGCTCCAGTGATACTCTTTACTCATCCTCCTGAGTAGCCGGGACTACAGGCAGGTACCACTACACCTAGCTCGATCCATCTTTTAAACCTAACCCCTGGTGGGTCTTCTAGCAATGTAAGTTCTATACATAGTTTTACAAATATGCCAAGCATTCTCATTCATGCTTTGCACGTGATTTAAGTCCTTTGCCCAGATCACTCTTCTTTCCTGATTGCTTTCTTGTACAGACCTGGCCAACACTCATTCAACATAACTGAGAACCTACTATGTCATTCTTCCCAGACTCCTTCAGCTAATCTGTGAGTTCCATAACCATAGGGGTTTATTGTATTCATTTTTGCATCTTTACCTAATAAGGCATCTGTTGTATCAAAAAAGCTCACTGCTAGCTGCCACCTTTGTCTAAGTCATTATCACCTCTATGTAATAACTCCTAGCTAGTCTCTCTGCTCATATCCTTCAACTTTACAATCCTTCCTTCAATAGTAGCTTGAGTGAGCTTTTAAAAATGTAAACCAAAGTGCATCATTCTTATGTTAAAAACATTCAATTGTTTCCTTATGACATTTGTAGTAGAATCCAAACTCCAATAGACTCCTACATGGTGTGATCTCTATTTCTCTATCCTTTCCTATTGCTAGCTGCCTCCAGCTCAGCAGACGGGTTTCTCCCTGTTCTTTCCACAATTCAAGCACTTTCTTACCTTACAGCCTTTGCACTACTCTCTCTCTTCGCCCGGAACACTCCACACCTCTGGCTCCCCTTTGTCATTTAGATCTTCCTATCTAAAAGACCTACTCAGAGTACGGATCCATAGAGATCTTTCCCTTATGCTCACCTTTCATATTATAACCTTGCTTTCCTAAAAAGCACTTATGGTCTTGCTTAATCATATGAGCTTATTTACTGTCTCCCTGATCTCTCTGGAATGTAAGATTTATGAGAGCTCTCTCTCACGTTGTTTTGGCAGCACCTGGAATGAAGCAGGTCCTGCTCAATAAATATTTAATATCTGTTGAATGAATTAAGTTCTATGGTAAGTTTAGTCAATAGACTGACTACAGAATAGAGCAGTCAAAGTGCTCTCTTTATAACAATGGGCTCACTATATGCCTAATATGTGGCAAAGAACAGTGGGAACTTGGGCTTTCATCTGGTATTGGCTGCTAACCTATTGTTAAAAAAAAATAGCAAATCAGTTATTTATCTCTGTCTTAATTTCCATATCTGTAAAACATGGACTGATCTCCAAAAAATTCTGGTCAGTAGACTAGATGCTTTGAGAAATGGAGAAGAAATGAATGGGGCCACTGCCCTCAGCATTTGAGAGAAGAGAGGATATCTGAGTGGGGGCGAAAACTTGTGATCAAGAGAATAGAAATCAACAGTGTCAGCTCTGGAGTCAGAGTGCCTGAGTTCAAATCCTGCCTGTGCCACTTGCAAGTTGTGAGACCTGGGGTAAGCACTTTGTATATCAGTTCCCCCTTGTGTGCAACGAACATAAGATTCCCCACATTATCAGGTAGCTGTGAGGGTTAGATGAAATAGATCATCTATATAACTTGCTTAGCACAGTACTCAACAAATTGTAAATATGCAAAAAAATATATTCAGGCTATTATGATCATCTCACTAAAATCTGATTATTTTAATTTAAAACCTAACATTTCTTACTGACGAAATAGTAAAAATACATAATATCATATACTTCTTTCCAACAGTCTGCACAGCAGTCATCTGAAATGAGTTAAATGATATTTCTCTTGTTTCTACAGTTTCTTCTTTTTAATATTCCTCCTGTCTGGGAAACTACTAAAATTAATAAATACATTGCATATAAAATACAGGTAGTTAATAAGGAATCTCAGACTCAGCATGGCTTTTCTTTTTTCCAACTTCTATTGTAGGTTCAGGGGTACACATGTGGATTTGTTACAAAGGTAAATTGCATGATGCTGAGGTCTGGAGTACAAATGAATCAGTCTCCTAGACAGCACAGTACCGAATTGGTATTATGTATTCAGCCCTCCCCTCTCTTGTGCTCCCCAGTGTCTACTGTTCTTATCTTCACATCCATCAGCATGGCTTCTGATTCACTTTTACATTTTTCAAATATGATCAAAAGCTTTCCTATTATAGTAAAAGTGATGAGTCCCACCTTTCCCTGAGCAACAACAATAGCAAATTACAAGGAATTCAGTGGGTTTTTTTTTTTTTTGCAAATTAACATCAACAAATTCTTGGCTGGGCATGGTGGCTCACGCCTGTAAGCCCAGCACTTTGGGAGGCCAAGGCGGGTGGATCATTTAAGGTCAGGAGTCTGAGACCAGCCTGGACAACATGGTGAAACCCCGTCTCTACTAAAAATACACACAAAAAATTAGCCGAATATGGTGGCGCACGCCTGTAATCCCAGCTACTTGGGAGGCTGAGGCACAATAATCACTTGAACTTGGGAGGCAGAGGTTGCAGTGAGCCGAGATTGCACCACTGTACTCCAGCCCAGGCAACAGAGCAAGAATCTGTCTCAAAAACAAAACAAAACAAAAAAACAAAAAAACCCCCAACAAATTCTTATATTAGAAATTTAAAATATTAGAAATAGTAAACATTTCTTGTTATAAGTAGTCCATAAATATACTGAAAAAGAGACGAAAAGAGAAATTATAAGCTTAAGGATAATGCCTGAAATACAACTCCTAACTTTCTGAAAGAATGGGAAAACCCCTAAGGAAAATTGTAGAGCAAGCTTAGCATTTAACTAAAGATAATACCACAATTGCAGCCTAAGGAACATCTCTAGGATAAAATGCAATTTTATAGGGTTGGTTAATTCTGACTCAGCAGTAATTCTCAACTACAGTTTTCAGATGGAAACGATTTAGTAATTCCAAATTTTGAAGGTTAATATGTATTATAATGCCTCAATACACAACTATAAATTTTGCCACAGGTATTTTGTGTAGTCAAAAAACGTAAAATCAGTTCTAAAACTCTGTTATATCTTTTAAGTTATACTTCTCAAGAAAAGTCATAAATTATTAATTATGGGTTGACAATCTAATTCTTTCATGATGGTTTACAACCAAAGTTTAAAGTAGAGAAGAAGGAGAGATTATCCAGATTCATGATTTTATACTGTAGCTGAGGCAGATTTCTCTGGAGAGCACCACCTAGGTATGCCTTTAATTGGCAGTAAAAAACTTTGTATTATCTTGTAGTATCTAAGAGATCCATGTGGCATATGAAAGAACTCTGGACTTTTACTTAAAACTGAACTAATAATTTACTAACCAGAGAAAGGGTATCAGTGTTTATTAAAGTTCAAAATGAAAGTATTTCTTTGTATTTTATTTTTTTCACTTGCTGTTACATAATAGTAGTCCCTAATATTCTAATATCATTTGCTGGAAAGCAGAATTGGGTGCCTGATGGACCCATAAGCTAGATCTGACAAAACTGACATGTGAAAAGAACCTCCTCAAACTAAGGATTGTATCTATTAAACATTGAATTCAAGTGTAGCATTATAGAGCAAAGATTCGGGAAGCTGACCAAACATGGTCTGAAGCACCATATTTATTCTATCATAACCTCAAAACTCAGAATGATATGTCAAAGAAGAAAAAATCTGTTTGATATTATTTGTTGATAATAAAATAGCACGCAGAATTACAATACTTTTTTTTAGAAAAGTATCTGATACTTATATTACATATCAATTACAAAATAATACACTAAGACAGTAGGGTAAACTTACCTCTATAATAAAAGAGGCAAAGGTCAGAAAGCACAAACCAGCGTTTCTTCCACAATTTCATGCCAGTACTGTCCTGGATTAAATCAGCATATTTAAGGATTATTTCTCAAACAACAAAAACTCACATGTTGTGCATTTATTTATTTATTTATTTATTTATTTTTATTGTTTTGAGACGGAGTTTCGCTCTTGTTGCCTAGGCTGGAGTGCAATGGCGTAACCTCAGCTCACTGCAACCTCTGCCTCCTGGGTTCAAGCAATTCTCCTGCCTCAGTCTCCAGAGTAGCTGGGGTTACATGCACCTGCCACCAAGCCAGGTTAATTTTTTTGTATTTTTAGTAGAGACGAGGTTTTACCATGTTGGTCAGGCTGGTCTCTAACTCCTGACTCAGGTGATCCACCTGTCTTGGTCTCCCAAAGTGCTGGGATTATAGGCTTGAGCCACTGTTCCTGGACTTGTGCATTTATTTAAAGTAAACTTTTAGAACAAGGTATGTTTGATACATATGTAATATAACCTAACTAAAAGGCCAATTAAAATTTTGGAGGTAGTTTTCTAGGGCCTTAAGATATTCCCAACTAGACTGGTCTCTGAAAATACCATTATGCAAAGGGAACATATTAAGGCAATTTGATTTGGCTTCGTATTTGTAAGCAATTTGAAATTCACTCTTCTCAACATAAACATCTGCTAGGATAAGAATGATGTAACCATGCAGCAGTGCGTGCATTCTGGTAAACCAGATTTAATAAATATGTTAAACTTCAACAAGAAGAAAAATATGTGAATTGAAGTTATTCCAAAGGTAATGCAATTTAAAATGACTGTGAATAAAGAAACCTTAATATACAAATAGGTTTTATAAACATTTTTTTTCCTTACGTCTATAGTTTGGGATTTGCTCATCATGTAAAAAAGAGAGACTATTTGGCAGCTATTTCTAAGTAATTTAGTTCTTTAAAATATCAGGCTCAAACAAAATTAGAATTTTAATAAAAATTACTTTCCCATATCCAATGTAGCAAAATTGGAAGTAAAATTAAACAGACACCCAAAAAAAAAAAAAAAAAAGAGGCCAGGTTGGATGTGCATTGATTAGAAATAAGTTTATTTCTAGCTGTGGGCAATGACTTTAAAATTACAGAAATTAACATGGGTGAAATCTTTCAAAATAAAAGATTTGACCTTAAAATTCACAGCTATACCAAAAAAGAGACCAAAAAAAATGGTAAATGATATCTTTTTTTTTTTTCCTCGAGACAGTCTCACACTGTCACCCAGGATGGTGTGTAGAGACACAATCTCAGCTCACTGCAACCTCCACTTCCCGGATTCAAGTGATTCTCATGCCTCAGCCTCCCAAGTAGCTAGGATTATGGGCATGCACCACCACAGCTGGCTAATTTTTGCGTTTTTGGTAGAGATGGCGTTTCTCTACATGACAGGCTGGTCTTGAACTCCTGTGCTAAGGTGATCCACCCACCTTGGCCTCCCAAAGTGTTAGAATAACAGGCATGAGCCACCACACCCAGCCATCTTCAATTTCTTAATTATATTCTTTCTTTAGTACGGCTAAGGGACACTGTAAACAAATATGTGTCACACACGTATTACAAAATAAACACTTTTTTTTGGAGACAGGGTCTTGCTGTGTCACCCAGGCTGGAGTGCACTGGCATGATCATACCTCACTGCAAGCTCAAATCCTGGGCTCAAGCGATCCTCAAGCGATCCTCCCACCTGAGCCTCCGGAGTAGCTGGGACTACAAGTGTGCACCACCACCACCACACCAGGTTAATCTTTGCTTTTGTTTTGTTTTTTTTTAAAGTAGAGATGAGGTCTCACTGTGTTGCCCAGGCTGATCTTGAACTCCTGGGCTCAAGTGATTCTCCGGCCTCGGCCTCCCAAAGTGCTGGGATTACAGGCGTGAACCACTGTGTTTGGCCCAAAATAAACACTTGTTAGAGAAGCTACTTGGTAATACTTTTGCAATGCTAAATTAACCAAGGGATCAAGAAATAAGAACAAGAGCTATTTTAAATAAGGAATGCCATTAGGCTATTAGGCTCAATTTTGCACTGAAATAGTTGATCATAATTTGGACTTATTAGAAAGGCTAGCTGGAAAATATGGAGAAAATTTTCTATTAGAAACTGGGCTGGGTGTGGTGGCTCAGGCCTGTAATCCCAGCACTTTGGGAGGCCAAGGTGGGTGGATCATTTGAGGAAAGGAATTCAAGGCCAGCCTGGCCAAGGTGGTGAAAACCTGTCTCTACTAAAAATACAAAAATTAGCTGGGCAGTAGTGGCACACTCCTGTAATCCCAGCTACTTGTGAAGCTGAGGCAGGAGAATTGCTTGAGCCTGGGAGGCGGAGGTTGTGGTGAGCTGAGATCATACTGCTGCCCTCCAGTCTGGGCAGGCCATAGAGTGCCACCCTGTCTCAAAAAAAAAAAGGGAAAAAAAAAGAAACTAAATGTGAAAAAACCTTTTAGCCTGGATAAGCTTAAATGTCAGATGGTTTAAATATAGTCAACCATCTTTAAATAAAAATTATGACTATTAATAAATAAAAATCATTAAGTCACCTGAAAGCAATTAGCAATATTTAACAGAATAAATTGGCACCAATGAACTAATATTTAACTTGCTTTGTATCATCTGTACGAATATATAATCAGAAAGAAAGAAACAAGCCTTGAAGATTGAGGATGTCACCTCAGTTATTTACCAGTCACTTATCACCCAGTTGCAAACTGGAAAACAGCTTCTATGTAATTGAAATGATGTCAAAATCCAAGGAGTTAACGTACATACATCTTTACTAATTCCAAAACTAATAAGGTTTCAAAATAGCTTAGATAGCAAGTTCCCCAGTCAGTGCAACAATATAAACCCCAACTTATCAGGATGCCTGAGAGTAAACCCTATATGTGCAAATTAAAAAGAAAAGAAAAAGTAAAGAAAACATAACCAAAAAACGTAAGAGAAAGAAAGAGTAGTCTCATATTATAGAATCAAAAATCTGAAAAAACTCAGAGAAATCTGAAATAATTATAAAATCTCTGTATAAATAAAGGGGGGAAATACACAACTGTATATTTCTCTAACAACTTTCATATCAATAGAAAAATGAATAACACCCTTGTATTAAGAGTTATTTCAATTTTGGCTTTTAAAAATATTCCTGTCTAGATACTTTTACCATGCTATTTCTTATCATTTTCATACAGCATATATTTAATTTTAAATCTAGAAACACCCATAACAAACACACAAGCTCTGTTCTAAGTAATGTCCACTCCTTTTTCTGCCTTCACTGTTCCCTTGATATTCTTCAGGGGTAACAAGCAAAGAACCTGGGTGGCTTCTCCATAGTTCCTTGTTAATTTTATGATTTTATAGAATTGTCTTTGGTACATTCAGTTTAAAAGGTTCCTTCTAATTTTGTCTTTTGTTTCATATCAAATAAAAAAAAAATACCTGTTTATAAAGCCAACCTCGTCTGACCACGGGTGCATTAGGATTCCTTTTAATTGAATTTGACCTCTTTCCAAAATTATGAACTTTTTTTGAAGCTCGTGAAGTCTAAATAGAAAAAGAGCATGACAGAAAATGTATTAATGTCTAGAGATTTGAGCTTATTTTCCTCTTAAAATTTAATCTCTTTTCAGATTTTCCCAAGAACTGCAGGACTTAAATCTTTTCAGAAAAATTATTAAAATTCTACTTTTGCTGGGTTAGTTTTTTGAAGTGTAAGAATTCTGCACCAAATTTTTTTCCCCAGGATATCAAAAGTTTTACAATATTTCCTTTAAAATCCAGACGGGATATACAATTTTTAGAAACACAGAGTATGTGGCAGTATTTTGTCCTATCTGCTATATAAAATGAATAGATCTTGAATAAAAACTGTTAACAAATCTTTAAGAATAAACCAAACAACAGAACTTTTCCCTTTATATCTTCATTTAATAGTGCAGGTTCAATTAAAGAAAGTTAACAGCACTCAGTCCGAGGAGAAATATACAGAGATTAAATATAAACAAATATATCACATCAAGTCAAAACAAGACGGGAAGGATCTGCTTAATGTGATGTAGTGTTTTCTTTTTCATGGACAACTCTGAACTTAAACCAGACAGATGGGGTTTACTGGATTCTTCAATGTATACATAAAGATATACAATCTTTAAAAATACTGGTATGCTTACCATGAAGATTTATTTTGGCAGGAATCATAGTGGTGACCAACAAAAATGAAAACAATGAAGCTATAAAGTAACATAAAATTATCTCTTACTTTTCTACTTGTTTAGAATCTTTGGAAATCTAGCATACTTCATTAGAATTTTGTTTTGGGAAGCTTTTATTAGTATATAAGAAAATTTTAAGGCCCGATATCAACAAAATTTTTCCTAAAGCATGTTTTCTAGATAGACTTTAATTTACTTTCAAACAGATAATGCTTAAAAACAGTATAAAACTCAAATGACATAAAAAGATACACAAAGATCAATCTACTTCTCACTCTCGGGCTCCAGCACCCAGCTAACCCCACTCGCAACTGTGGGGCAACCAATATCACTGTTATGTGTGTGTCTGTCTATCTAAAATAACCGTTCTCATGATTAATGAATATTTTTCTGAAATGATCGCGTATTTTAATATCCACTCTTCTGTTCCATTATTTCTTGGAGCTCACTATATAAACAGAATGCTTATTTACCCATACTGTTGTCAATGTGCTGTGTTATGAAACTTTCTGACCTTTGGAAATCTGTAAGTGAAAATGGTGTCTTTTTCTGGTTTTAATTAGTATTTTTCATATTATGGATGAGGCGGAGTATCTTTTTTCATATATTTAAGGGTAAATTCCATTTTCTTTTCTGAAAACTGATTTCATATAATTTGCCCATTTCCAAACTGGCACGTAAGCCCTTTTCTTATTGATTCACAGTACTTCTTTAATTATAAGGAAATTATTCTTTAATCGTTATATGAATTGCAGATACTCTGCATGGATAATAATTACATGTGGTTGAATTTCTCATTATTTTATATTGTTACTTCTGGGTTTTATGTCGTATTTAGAAAGCCCATCTACATTCTGATCTTTTTTTTTTTTTAATCTTCCATTGTTTTTTTCTAGTGCTTTTATAGTTTTGTTTTTAACATTTCAACAACTGATCCATCTAGAAAATTTTTGGTGTAAAGTATGAGGAACAGATTCAACTTTCTTTCAAGACAATGACCTAGTGGCTCTCAATCCATTCATCAATTTCACCAGATTTTAATTGAAATATACTCATAAAGCATTATGCTCAGTTAGCCTGTTGGACATATGTTACTTAATAATCAGAAATTATTTATATTATTTGAAAATTTACATTCATTTATAATCTCCTAACAAAATTTTATTTCTAAAACCTTAACAGGCATTTAAATACTATTATTATAATTATCTATTTCCTTACAATAAACATAATTTACTATTACAATGGTTTTGCTGAAAAATGTTTTCTCAATCTAAGCATTCTTATAGTCAGATAATTTGATTTCTAGGCTATTACATTAATCATCACCTTTAAAACTTTAGAGTGTCCATTTTCTCTCACAAATATCATTATATTTCTAAAACTATTCCAAACTTAAAAACTTAAGTCTTTGAATTACAATCTTATTACTTTATATTTCAGGCTGCAATTGCTTCTTCTATCAATCACCTCCAAATTCATGTAGTAATAAAAATGTAATGATTATTCTATAATTTTAAGTCCACTATGAGTAATGGTATAGATACTGTTTACTCCTTATCAATAATTAATATAAAGCAAAATAACTTACTCTGCCTACAGGGCTCATTGGATGCACTGCATAATCTGAAGTCACGTTATAGTTAGAAGCTTCATTTATCATACTTATAGGTCGTTCCTTCTTTTCTTCAGATGTCATGGTTGCAACAGTCCTGAAAATATATGTCAAAATGCTAGAACTTGCTGTATATGTAACCCACTTTACAATAACACTTCCCTACAGTTAACTATGCGAGTGTACTACTTTTCCACAGTACGTGGATCCTAGTTACTCTAGAATCAGGCCTTGATACTTACAACAACTTTAAATACAGCTAACACTTTTCCTAAGTCAAAAATACATTATTATCATGTTTATTTATTATTATGTTTTAAGACAGGAGTCTCACTCTGTTGCTTAGGCTGGAGTACAGTGGCGTGGTCTTGGTTCACTGGAGAATCTGCCTCCCAGGTTCAAGTGATTTTCCTGCCTCAGACTCCTCAGTAGCTAGGACTACAGGCACGCGCCACCATGTCCGGTTAATTTTCTATTTTTTAAGTACACTCAGGGTTTCACCATGTTGGCCAGGCTGGTCTCGAATGCCTGACCTCAAGTGATTTGCCCACCTTGGCCTCCCAAAGTGCTAGGATTACAGGCATGAGCCACCGCACCCGGCCTATCATGTTTATTTTTAATAGGCATTATTGCAGATATTCTACTTGGTCATCCAACTGAAAAACTAAAAATGAATTATATGATTATTCTAATTTAAAAAGCAATAACAATTTCAGTAACTAACTGTGAATAGCTCTATAGTATAATACATTCTTACACATATTTCATTTGATGCTTATAAAACTCTTGTGAAATAGTAATTATCACTATCTGATTTAAGGATGAGAAAACTGAGCTCAAATTACTTTAATAATCTAACCAAGTTTACATAGTTTCTCTATGCTTGCATCCCAGGCTCTTGAGCTTACTGTGTTTGAAGTACTATAAAAATAGCTTCTGAGATTACATTCCTCATGAAAAAATGTTTAAGTCAGGTTTCTATATGACACATCATGAACAGCTGGCATTCTGTTATTATACTTGACTACAAATGTCCAGATAAGAAAGCTGTTAAATTGAAATATAAATAACAGCAATTTCAATGCTAACCCAATTTTGAATACAGGCATTCCATGAAACTCTTTACTTACTGTTCATTCACTACAAAAATACAATTGTCCTGTGATGGTTGTCCTGTGACTGGATGTTTGCAGGTCACTTTCCTTTCATTATGGCTGAAAAAAGAATAAAAGAAAAACAGAACGTGTAGGTATTTAAAATGCCCATTTATTTATTGTAACATTAAAGTTAGTCTACAAAGGAAATGAAATTCAAACTCCCAGGCTTTTTGTTTGTTTGTTTGTTTTTGAGATGGAGTTTTACACTTGTCGCCCAGGCTGGAGTGCAACGGCATGATCTCAGCTCACTACAACCTCTGCCTTCTGGGTTCAAGCGATTCTCCTGCCTCAGCCTCCCGAGTAGCTCGGATTACAGGCGCCCACCATGACGCCCAGGTAATTTTTTGTATTTTTAGTAGAGACAAGGTTTCACCATGTTGGTCAGGTTGATCTTGAACTCCTGACCTCAGGTGAGCCACCCGCCTCGGCCTCCCAAAGTGCTGGGATTACAGGCATGAGACACGGTGCCTGGCCACCAGCCTTTTGAGATTCCTAAATATATCTTTCCTACTATCTATTGGGAGTGCCTGTGTGTGAAAATGTTACTTATATTTTTACAAAACAGTTAAATGCATCCCTTCTCAGTCTGGTCTCAATCCTTTTTCATTATTTTATAAACAAAAGTAAGTTGCAGGCCAGGTGCTGTGGCTCACGCCGGTAATCCCAACACTTTGGAGCGCCAAGGAAGGTGGATCACTTGAGGTCAGGCGTTCAAGACCAGCCTGACCAACATGGTGAAACCCCATCTCTACTAAAAACACAAAAATTAGCCAGGTGTGGTGGCGTGTTCCTGTAGTCCCAACTACTCAGGAGGCTGAGGCAGGAGAATTGCTTGAACCTGGGTGATGGAGGTTGCAGTGAGCTGAGATTGTGCCATTTCACTCCAGTCTGGGCAACAGAGAAAGACTGTCTCCCCCTTAACCCCCTCCCCTCAAAAAAGTTAAGTTGATTTGGCTGTTTGGCTCTTTACATTGCATTGTAAAATACAAAGATTACTGTATTTTATACTTCATAGGTGGGTCATGAAAAATAAGTATGAGTGTCTACCTACCTCCACTGTTTCATGGTCCAACATGGGTGCATTACAGAGTACTAATGCCAAATTCATAAATGGAAAGAAAACCTAACAGTACTACTATATGGGCACCAGTACCTTAACAAAATAGAAGGTTCTGAAACAGGAATACTTCACAGTGTTTCTGTTTTACAAAACAACCTTTATATAGATAATGTAATGAGATTAATTTTTTGACAATTGAGGAAGGTATGTTGTAGAAAAAAAAATCTGAAGGAGAAGCAAAAATCTTAAGTAGATGAAATGTGGAAACAACAACAAAAACAAAGAAACATCTGTTATGTTTACTGAAAAAATTGCTTTGAATTAAGTTATGATTATTTTTGGAGAATTAGATGTTTGCCTAAGAAATAGTATTCTTTCTAGGTTGAGTGATAAGGTCTTCAACTGTTCTTGAATGAAAGAAGGAAAAAAAACCCTATTTATTTAAGCCAAAAATACTAGATGCTCGAAATAATATGCAACATACATTGATATATTAAATAGTCTATAATAATTTTCATTAGGTCATATACCATAAAGTAATCTGTAACAGAGACCTATCATTGACATGCCTGACATTAGAAAATTTACCTTGTAAGGTCTATATTGAATTTTAGTTTTTTTTGTTAATCTTAAAATATTAGTACATATGCTCTGTATGGTGAGAAGTCTATAACCACAACCTGCAAACTTCCAGGTAAATTTCATATGCTTAAGTTCTTTTTCCAAATCCTAATTTTCATATTTTTTTGGGTAACTCAATACCCTGAAACTTAATCCATTAAATAAAATTGAAACTATATAAAGATATAGATAAAGTTTTTTTAAAATTCCGTATTGACTATGGTAAAAGTAGAATCATTAATGAAACATAGTGTTTCTATTATTCCTTAATTCAAGTGGTCTAGGAAACACATAGAGCCAACTGTTAATATTTAGAAAAATTTTAATAGATACAGCACTTGACACCCTGGGAGGTAGCTGGCTCACTGTTAGGTCCTGACCATTGTCCTTGGCACAACGGAGGAGTGACTGCTGAGGACCACAGGAAGGGCAGGGAAGGGAAGATAATGATTCTAGCCTTTTCTCAATTCTACCAAAGTTTGTCCCCTGTATTATTACAAATTGTATGTTTTCATCTTAGATCTGCCATTCTTTTCCGCATTTCACAAGCTGTTGTTGTTGTTGTTTTGATGGGCCTCAAAATCCAGATCAAGAGAATCATCAGTTCTGCTACAATGCTTGCTGGAACTGTTTCAACATGATTTGTATGTTAAAGGAACAATTTGAGCATAATATGACTTTGCACTTGCTTATGCATGATTTTATTTGTGAGAGACTCTAGATGGATGCAAAAAACTGCACCTGACAAAACCCAGCCACACAGGAATACACAAAATGTATATCTGCACACACCTCAAACATGTAGCAGCTACTTCAGTTCATTGCCTGTTTTATGAAACACACTTATCCACATCTGGTGATACAACTTTTTTTTCTTTTCTTTTTTTTTTTTTTTGAGACAAAGTTTTGCTCTGTTGCCCAGGCTGCAGTGAAGTGGCACAATCTCAGATCACTGCAACCTACGCCTCCTGGGTTCAAGCGATCCTCCTGCCTCAGCCTCCCAAGTTAGCTGGGATTACAAGCATGTGCCATCATGCCTGGCTAATTTTTTCCATTTTTAGTAGAGATGGGGTTTTGCCATGTTTGCCAGGCTTGTCTTGAACTCCTGGCCTCAAGTGATCCGTCAGCCTTGGCTTCCTAAAGTGCTGGGATTACAGGTGTGAGCCACCGCGCCGGGCCTACAGCTTTCAACTCAATTTCAGATAACCTTCCCCCCAAAACTTCCCAAAAATTCACGCTGAAACCCTTTCAACACCTAGTTACTTTTCAAGCAAACTGCAGGTCTTTTTCAAGGCCAAATGTCATATTTATTATGCTACCATTTTTATTCGGTTCCTGTATGTGTTGCTAACGAAGTTTGAGTGGTGTGCTCCTAAATCCATTCCCCCGCCCCAAGCCCTGAGTTTTTTTGTTTCCAGATTTTGCATGATGAGGTGATTTTTAGAGACACACATGCTATATTTTTGCAAAATATATTGCACTACTAAATTACAAACTACCATATCACTATCCTATTAAAAATGCATTAGAATTTTAACAGACACTGAAACAAGGTGTCATTTAAAAAAATTCTTCTCAGATATTTTATGCTTAATAAAAACTGAAAATAAAAAAATTTAAAACAATTTGTATTTCTAGAAGAATCCTTATAAAAAGGATAAAATTCACGTCTTTATTTTATTTTATTATTATTATTATTTTTGAGACGAGTTTCACTCTTGTTGCCCAGGCTTGAGTGCAATGGCGCAATCTCAGCTCACTGCAAGTTCTGCCTCCCAGGTTCAAGTGATTCTCTTGCCTCAGTCTCCCAAGTATTTGGGATTACAGGCATGCACCACCATGCCTGGCTAAAAAAATTTTGTAGTTTTAGTAGAGAGGGTTTCACCATGTTGGTCAGGCTGGTCTCAAACTCCTGTCCTCAGGTGATCCACCGGCCTCGGCCTTCCAAAGTGCTGGGATTACAGTTACGAGCCTCTGCGCCCGGCCAAATTCAGGTCTTGATATAAGACATACCTATGGTCACAGAACAAACTAATTCCCACCTTGTCTCTGTAGTCACTGTGGCCTAGTAGGAAGTCCAGACTTTTCTAAATACAATGCCAGTGTTTACCTACTCTTACTTCCAGACTTCCCTTGATGATGTTTTAATGTGTAGGTCTAGATAAGTGGTTCTCAATTGGGTGATTTTGCCTCCAGGGGAACATTTGGCAATCCCTGGTAACATTTTGAATGTCACAACTGGGGAAATGTTACTGGTGTCTAGTGCATAGAGGCCAGGGTGCTGCTAAACATTTTATAATGCAGAGTAGAGCCCTCCATGTCCAAATAAACCTCCAGAAACGTCAGCAATGCTGAGGGTGGGAAGCCCTGCATTAGGCTATCATAACCCTTAAAATAACTGACTCTACTGAATAAGAAAAGCAATATTTACTATTCGTGTCCCTGTATTTCTCTAAACACAACAGAGGTAGCAGAAAACAATGGTAGTTGAAAGCACAGTTTCTGAAATCAGACTACACAGGTTTGAATCTCAGCTCCTCCACTTAATAGCTAGGTGATCTTTCGCAACTTACTTTACCTCTCCGTGTCTCAACTCAATAAACGCAGCTATGTCACAGGTTATTCCTTCATTTAGTCAACATATACATATATACACACACAAACATTTTCATAAATATAACATCTATATAGACATATATTTATATATGATAGTCCTCCCTTATCTGTGGTTTTGCTTTCTATGGTTTCAGTTACCCTCAGTCAACTGCCGTCCAAAAATATTAAATAGAAAATCCCAAAAATAAACAATTCATAACTTTTAAATTGTGAGCTGTTCTGAGTAGAGTGATGAAATCTCTCTCCATCCTGCTCTATCTCATCTATGATGTGAATCATCCCTTTGCCCAGTGTCTCTAAACTCTCGATGCTACCTGTCCCATTAGTTACTCAGTAGTTGGCCTGGTTCTCAGATTAACTGTTGAGGTACTGCAGTTTTTGTGTTCAAACAACCCTTATTTTAATTAATAATGACCCCTCCACACACACACCCAAAGTACAAGGCTTGTGATGCTGGCGTGCTGTTACACTTTTATTAGTTATTATAGTTAAGCTTTTACTGTGCCTAATTTTTTAAAAAACAGAGATGGGGTCTTGCTAGGTTGCCCAGTCTGGCCTCAAACTCCTGGGCTCAATGATCTTCCTACTATGCTTTCCCAAACTGCTGGGATTACAGGCATGAGTCAGCATGGCTGGCCCACTGTGCCTAATTTATAAATTAAAATGTATCATAAAGCAGTAAGAAAAACATAAAAAAATCCTTGCCCTCAAGGAACCTACTTTATAATGGAGATGTAGAAAATAATAAGCACTCTATAAA